CAAACTTTTGAAAAATCTCCACGTTTCAACGTCTCCAAAGTCCAATACAACAATTTTTAAGTGGACGTCTGTGTGTACGTATGTTCTTATGTGGGTTCGGAATGTTTTTTTGTCTCGATTATCTCGAGAGCAAAAAATGATATCAACGTGAGACTAATTGCATTCGACAGATAATTACGCAACTTAGAATTGATTAGGTTTTCAGAAAAATTAGTCCAACCATTTTTTATGTAGCATCAAAAAAGTAAAAAACAAATGATAAACTAGCTAAGTTTTATCATTCTTTTCACTGGAAAGTTTGTCGTGTGGACCTTTTAGGTCACACTCAGACTATTGCATAGCACTGATATGTAATTATTGAGTTACAAAAAATAGACGAGTTTTTATTTATCTTCCTGATTAGAGTATTAATTTGATGTGGAGACAGTAAATTATCATCAACTCTATTAGTGGTTTATTAGGATGAGAATTTCGATCAATAAACTCACTGTTGTATTAGTTAATTCGTCTACTAGAAATATCGAACACAATTACTTCAATATTTATTAATTTACTATTTTTATATCTAATAAATTTAATCAAAATAATTTTATCTTTCACTTACAATATAATTAATAATTTGATAATAAAATAAACTATCAATAATAACAATGAATTTTTGTATTAATTATTCGAATAAACTAATTAAATATTTTGTTATTGTTTCATCTTCGATAGGATTTAATTTGAAAATTTAATAATCATACAATTCAGCAATGAAATATTCAAAGGTCAATAGAAACTTTGATACACAGAAAATTTAATCAAAAACTTTTATTTCAGATTTATTAATTGAAGTACTTGATAAGACAAAGTTTTGCATCCAATCATATAAAAAAATAAGAAAAAGAAGAGAAAGATCTAAAGATGCACGGGCTAACTCATTTGTTGTCACACCACAACTCAAGTTCTAGTTCAAGTAATGAATCGAAGGACAGCCAAGAGAAGTGTTCTTCAAGTAATGATTCTAAAAGATATTGTCATCAAGATAATACAAAAGCCCTCCAAGAATTGCTAAGCCAGCATAAATCTAATATGGAGGGCAAGATGTACTCAAATGATCGGCAATCACGTGGATCAGTAAGTTCGGCCTATTCGTGTGGCTCTTCCTCATATGGATCCAGTCACGGTTCGTCTTCCTCTAACTACGGATCCGGAAATCCTCTTCATCAATCGAATAACCATTCAGTCTATCATACAGTACATTCAGGTTATTCGCATAATAATCCACTGCATCACTTATTTCATCATTCATCATCACATCGACATCATCACAATATTAGCCATTCAATTAGCAGTGGTGCTGGATCACCTAATTCGCTAAGTCCTACTGGAGAATCTGAAAAACATCGTCATCATCATCACCATCATCATCACAGTATTCAAGAAATGATCAGGCATTTTGGTCGAAGGCTTGGTCATATTCGACGTCAAAGTGAATGCCAAGAAACTCCAAAGAAAAAAGAAGAAGATTTTCGAAATAGAAGTCAGAGTTTAGATGGTGCTATGAAAAATTCTCTTTACTCACCTCGCATCATTGATGATTGTGAGACTACTTACAGAATTTATGAAAGCATACTTAGAGAAGGTAAATTCACATTTAAATATCACAATGATGATATATTTAAATATTATTATGGCTTCTATTAAATGAGATGATTAATTAAAATTAATTTCAATAATTGTAGATTAATTAATTGAAATAATTCTACGTTATTAAAACGTTTGATTCAGTTATCCATAATACTAATCTACTTTGATGAAAAAGGAAATATTGATTATTAATAAACTTTATTGGCTACAATAATTGCCAATTTTTATAGAAAACGATTATAGTCAAGAAAGAAAAATTCATTGGTTACAAGTGATGGAATTTTTCATTTTTATTGATAAAAATAATGTATTATATAATTCCTGGTTTTGAAATGGAATTAATTGGTATTTAAATTACTTACTCATTTGAAAAAATTGAACTCATAAAATATTTTCAATTCAATTTACTAGCTGAATGAACAAGGTTAATGATGAAAAAAATATTTATAAAATAAATATCAAATATTGTCTGATTCAGTTCAGTCTCAATGAATATGTAATTTGATTGTTTATCTAACATGATAAAACAAAAAAAAAAGTTTGTTCATAATGAGATTAATAAACAAAAGCCATGAAATATTTTATCAAGAAACTTATCATTTTTTACGTCAGTACTTATGGGGTGAATATTATTCAAAGTTAAAAGTTAAAGCGTCTTAAGCCCATGAAATTTCACGACATACTTTTACATAATCAGACCAAATCCTACATCTTCACTCTTACTTGTTTGAATAAAGATCCCATTATAGGGAGCTTATTTTGATAAAAGCTGAATTTAGAAATATCTGCTTTAAAAGATGTTTATCACTAAACAATTTATTCCTTTATTTATTGCCAGAAAGAAAGTAGGTAGATCGAATTTTCGACGTCAAAATAGATACATTATAATGTCAAACCTGCTGCATTGAATAGCGAGACTGCATTATACTTACATTAAAGATCGACATATTCTGCAGTCTTTAGTAGTTCATGTTGGCAAGTGTCTCTTGTTGATTGCTGACAGTTAAACAGTTGGTATTTTTTATCTAACTTTTCTTTTATAAAATAAAAACAGAAAAATATTAAACAAAGTTTTATAATAATTATCAATAATTAATTGTTTTTTAATCAACATATTTTCACTTTGTTTTTCAACGACTATTTGATTCTTTCTTTGACTATTTAATGTTGCTATAAATATCATACTGATGAATGTCAATTTAAATATAGTTCAGAAAGTATTGAAACCATTAAACTTGGCAAACAAAATTGACTTTTGGAAAACATATTCCAATCACGAGAAATATGATATATACGTGTAATAAGCTAATGAATGTCTTATATATTGCGTTTTTATTTCAAGGTCATGGATTTTATTATTAAAATCCAGTTCAATTTTTATAGCTTCTTTATATTACATTCAGATATTAAAAATTTTTCATTTACATGTAAATTTTATACGTGCTTATTCTATTAAGAAACCGGATATATTTTGTTGAAGAATGAAAATTGAATTATAAAAAATTTATCAACAATTTTCTCATAAATTTTTTTTAACTTTATTTACTTTTAACTGGAAGATTTAAGTTTTTTTTTTTTTAAATAAAAAGTAGTTCTAGGACATCTCTAAAACCTAGCCCAATTTTAAATCGATAATTGTCACGACAGTTGTAGAAAAATAAGTATCTAAAGTTACATAAATCTCTTGAAGCTTTCTCATTATTTTTGACTTTATTCTTTGCATTTATTTATTAGCATTATTGAATTTTATAGTACTCGAGACCAATTTTATCTTAAGTAAATATGTCATTCACAAAAAAAAAAATCTAAAAAAATAATGTCAATAATTTGATAAATGGCTTTAGTTTAAATTTTAACTATTTTCTATGAAACATATTTATTTTGAATCTACATACAAGAATAGTTACAGATATAATAACTTTTGAAAAGAAGAAATTTTCAATTAAACAATCTTCCTTACATCAACGATGAAATGACTTGTGTCTATATCATTCTACGTCTAAGATTCCAAGATTGTGTGAAATATAATAGAATTAGGTTAATTGTAGATATTTATAGAATGTAACTTGAGATGAGGTTCATTAAACGTAAAATGTAGTCTACGTGCTATTCAGCTGGTACACTAAGTAAACTACGACATATTCATTAACAACTAAATTATATATTTTCTCTCATTGTTATAATAGTCTAATTTACTTTAAAATCAATAGAAAAGCTCACTTTGTAAACAGAACTTTCATTTATTTAGTATCTTTCGTATGCTCAAATGAATGTGAAATAGAAGCTTTGCAATTATATCTAAAATATTCTTATCTGAAATTAATGATTAAATGATAATAGAGGCATTGTAGTTTGGTTTGAAATGAAATAATAATTATCATTTTCACATGAGATATTTGAATTGATGAATTAAATATGTTGCTGCTTTTCAATTTATCTTATCCAAGTTATTCAATTTAATTATAATCATAATACAATTTTTACTTAATTTTTTTTTTCTCTCTCTCAAATAAGTTGAATATCAATTACTTCTAAGAAAAATAGATCAATTAGAAGCACTTCATTTTCAATGTCTATTCGAATGAAAATTATTTACATACCTAAACAAACATATCATAGCAAAGGAAATGAATATTCTGCAGAGAAAAAATGGCAAAGTTAAAATGATAAAACTGAAGCTGACTTAGGTTTCATATTAAATAATTCAACTACTTATCTTCTAGAACCAGATTTTATTCTGTAGAAATAAAATTTCTGTTTTACTTTTATTCTACTAATGTTTCTGATGTCATTTACCATAGATTGCATTACAGTTCAAAGATCTTTTTACTATGAGTCATCAACTTTTTTTTTTTTATCAATAAACCAAATCTTACAATTATAGTTCAAGGGGAGCTCTTATGTCGAAATAGCTTGTGGAAAATTTTTTATCAATAGCAATAAGCTTATCACTAGATATATTTGCATAGAACATTTTTTTTTCACATTCATATGAAAACTTATAGATATCCTCAATTATAATAAAGTATCATTGAAAAATATAATTATTAAAAACATAAATTGTTTTCGTCGATAAGTAACATAAATGAAAAATAACTGCGTATTAAAAAAATAAAAAAACTCCAGCTATTTGTTTATTATAATTAATGTAATAAACAAATGTACGTCAAAAGTTTTTGCGTATTAAAAAAAGCCTTGAAAAATAACAAAAAACATAGAGTTAAAAAAGAAGATAACAATTAAAAGAACATTTGTTAGCTCTTGAAATCCTTCTTATTATTTTTAACACACGTTAATTGTAATTAGGCTTTGTAACGTATTATTAAACGTACTCGTTCATGTTTCTAATATTTCTTTGACATTTTAAGGTGCTTTGAGAAGGAGTTCTCTTGATTCTGGACGAGGAAAGCTATTGTATGGAGCTCCTCGTAAACCTTTATCATTAGACCCAGCCCACACTGCAATACTCTTCAGAAATGCTCGAGGGGTGAGTTTGAATTTATTTCTATCTGTCTAATTAATCTAAAAGTTAATTTCTTTATTATCCAAAGAAAGAAACAAATCCAAGTAGATTATCACTTTTGGTATTGTATTATTGGTAAACATATATAGCTTCAAGTTGTTTACAAGACTATTATTGTATCTGTATACCAGAGCTAAGTGAGGACGACGTGACATAGTACTCGTACTGCAATCCCGTATGTTGACTCATTGATTTCCACAGCTTTTAATTTTCTTTAAACATTTTGCAGCAATGGCTCATTGTAGCTAGAATTTTCTTCGTATTTTTATCCCATTGATGCTTTCTTCTTCTACTAATTAAATCGTTGTCGAGCACTTTTCCTACTTCTTGTAATTTCCTTGTTCTTTTTTTCATTCGTTCTTAATTTCATTCTTTTGTTCAGTTTCAGGTTATTTTAAAGTTGAAATGATGAAAATAATAAAAAACTTTTTTATTCAACGTCTTCAATTCTGGACAAGAATAAATACAAAAATTAACAAAATTCCAAAACAGTTTTGGAGTTAATTTTAATTTTTTATTAAATTTTGATAAAATAATAATCTTCAGTCAATAATATAGTTTATCTCTGTAGTTGTGTTGATAATTTTTTTAACAGCTGGTAGTGTAGAAATCTGTTAATATTCTTAGCAACCTTTTTTACCTACATTTTTTAAATTCATGTTCAATAGTAATTATTTGTTATCAATATTAATTACATTTTTGATATTTAATTCGTCAACACATTTTTTTTCTCTGCCAGAATTTATTTCATAATCTTTTTATGTCAGACTTACAATATTATTGTGAAGAAAATATTACTTAAAATTTTTTACAAAAAGCAACGCAGTTTTTCGTGGTTCAATTATTTATTTTAAGGAGATTACAGTAAGCCAAGTATTACAACATTTAAAGGAAGAAATTGTTTAAATTATTCTAAAACTTGAAAGTACTTACAACTGTAATAATTTAAAGAGCTTTATCATTTCATTTACCGTTATTTTATTCTGATCATCTTGATCGATTTTCTTCAACTTCATTAACTTAACCTTCATTTGTGCCTTTAATCCTGAAGGTATTTAATAAGGAAAGGTTCTAAATGTACACGACCTGGTCATTGCATTTCCATAGGAAAATCGATTGCGTCATGCGCAAAACTAAAATTCTATTTGAAGGTCACAATTTATTTTATTAACATCTTCTTGAATAATATTTTTATGACTGAGCAATAAAATTCATCTTGATATGCACATAATAAAGAAATATTGCAATCTTCTACGATCAGTAAATTTAAACGTCTGTAATTCTACTTTTAGATATTTTATTTATTTAAAGTAGAACTTTTTACTTCAAACATTCTCTATAAATCGAAGTTAATAATCAACAACATCAGAGACTTGAACACATCGATGCTATTTAGTTTGAAATTTTTATCGTGGAAAGGGCTGATGTTGTTAATTGAATGTTCTATTAAAAGCAAGTGGAAATACAAGTTTTATATTCAATTAACTATCATTAACTTTCGAAGTCTAATATTCTTTTAAGTCCATTAAATGAAATAATTACAGAAAATGTTTAATTGAAAATTTAAAAAAATTACAAATTTAGATGTTGTAAACTTAATTCACTTACGTTGTTTCAATGTAAATATTGACTTTTCAGTATTAATAAAAAATTAACTACCTATAAAGGCTCATTAAAGGAAAGCATGATTCATAAATTATTTTTAAGGGTAGGGATATAATTCTAATGTTGTCTATCATTAATTGTTAATAAAGATACGTCATAGGCATTGTTGAAACTTTAATATCCAAATGAGAGAATTGTATTTGATATATTTTAAAGTAAAAAAATATTCAATTTCAATTCTTATTCAACTTTTTATCTAGGAAAGTTGACAATGAAATAAAAATAAATTTCTTAGAGGAGACAAATATTTAATTGGAAATTTCAGAGTTTCGCCATTGAGAAAGTTTCTTTTTTATTCGAAAATAGTTTGTTCTTGAAGTTGTTGAGGAATGATCAGATTGGTTTGGTACATACAAACATTCCTATTACGTAACCTAAAATATTTACGATCTGGTGATAAATGAAATTTTAAGCAAACTTTACTGTTTGAATACCTTGAAATATAATTTTTAAAAAATCAACTCAAATAATTATATCTACACAGTAGATAATTATTAAACTTAATTATATAATAAATTCTTATCATGATCTACTTTTATTCAGATCTAATTAATTATAATTCAACTGATATTTAATGCTTAAGAAAATCAATTGACTTAATATGTATGTTTAACTTGATCATCATTATTAATTATAATGAAGCTTTTCTTTGAATATTTATAATTTATTCCACATGTATACAGCATCTTTTATCAACCGTTTTATCATTAACGTAATAGTAGTTGAATGACTTTCAGAGATATAAATTGTTGTTGATCATTGACATTGTCTTCATCACAATAATGATCAATTTATTGTATTACTAATGAATAGTATAGAGTATAAACATTAATAAATTTAAAAAACTTAATTCTCTTTAAGGATTAACAGAGAATATGCGAATTAATAAAAGTACGCAGTTAATTTTGACACCGTCTGGAAAGTTATGAGTTTATTTTCTCCTGTCACTCTTTTCCATACAGCTTCAATGTTCTATATCTTGGATACTACATTTCTGAGTTCGAATATTACGTTTAAAATAATCTAATCTTAATAGATGTTTGGAATCTGCAATTGCTGACAGTTGAATTTTTTTTATTATTTCTTCATTTATTTCCATATTCCTATTGATTTTTTATAAATGACTGAGCTCTAAGACTATCTCTGAATGTTTATAATTCAAAATATAAAAAATAGATTGTTTATCTAAAAAAGGACAATTGTGTTTTTTGAAAACTACTTTTTCTCAATTTATTCTTCTAGATTCTTTCTTTTCTTCTGAACACTTTTTTAAAGAAGAAAACAGCACAAAATCTCGCTTATTAAATTTATTTGTTGATTTAATTTGTACGTTCTAAGTTATTTTCTTAAATAAAAAAATGCTTGAAATCTTGAATTGAAATGTTATCTGGATATTCTGTTAAATTTGTAAAAAGAATACTTTCATTGATATGAGAATGGATAAATGTATCTAATTTGTGAATAAATAGAACAAATTCAATAAAACCTTTCATAAAAATTATAGTTATAATATGGACAAGTCTTTCTTAGTCAGCTTGTCTTCTTCATTGTCATTTAAACAGTATTATTTTGATTGTTCTTGATGCTATTCCTTCCAGACATTACTTCTGCGCTTCGAACTTGGCGCTTGCTTCTTGAACACAGCTTGTTCTACTGTTGAGTACCATCCCGTCATTCAGTACTTCGCGAGCGATCTGTCGAGTTAGGGTTACACTTTGACACCTACATTCTATAAGTGATTAATCCATGCAATCAAGTGATTTTATAGATAATTAAGTTTTCCATCTCATTATAATTGCGAAATTATTTACAATTTTACTATTCAATCTAAAAAATTATTTAAATTATCATCAGTTATGTTCAATAAAACTAATAATTATTAACTTTAATTTCGTATTAATGAATTATTATTAAACAATTGAACTTATAAATCTCAAAATCACGGGTAATCTTATTTTTTTTTTTTTGCATCAGTGAGAAATATGAGTTTTAAAATGGAATATATTTATTGTAAGTAATAGATGCAACTTCATAATAAAGCACATAATTGTATAAAAAGTTGCATCAGATGATATTCTTGAGAAGAACAAAGAGTTTATTCATAAATTCTTTATTATCTTTTGTCATCAATTTTTTATTCTTCTATATCTTCATTCATCATTTAAACTCAACTCTTCTCTAAGTCTTGTCATTTAATGACCTCATATCATCCTCTAAATTCCTCCAGTAAATAATTTCTCATTCTGCATAATCATCAAAAAGCTCCAAAAGAAGTATTTTAGATATTTTATTTATATTTATTATTAAATATTTTTACTTTAATTTCATCAAACCGTTTTGAATTAATCTTCATATTATTTATTATCACATTGAACTGCAGATTTTAATCATGACTTACTCTCATAAAAATAACTATTCCATTGATAGCTGTGACAGATTAATCAAACAGACTGAAACAGTACGCAATCTTCATAATGAAATAAACAACATCACCTTTGGTTTATGTTGTCTACACTTTTCATAACATAAGAATTTCATTCGATATTTCTATTCTTTGTTATTTGTATCTTTATCTTCATGAACATTGTTAATTATTATTTTCAAAGTAATTGTAATATAATATTATCTAATTGCTTCAACTCGTCATTATCAATTCTTGGCACAAACTTAGTGCAATTCTTTATATTACAACATGTAGTTATTTTCTCATTTTATCTTTCAATATTCTAAACTGTTTAGTATTCAAATTCCATAAAAAATACGCGTATGCATTTTTATTTCATGATAGTCAACAGTGAAGCAAGTGTGTAAACAGATAAATTACCATTAAATTGACAAGTTTAAAAAAGTCTTTATTTTAGTTAAAAAAAAAAAAATTTTAAAGCTACGAGTAAAATTTATAGAATTAAAAAGTAATTGAAAGCGATAGACATAAATAGTCTGATTTCAATAAAAAATAATTGGATAATTATTTTTATTTTAAAATAAATCTATATAAACAGTTACGAAAGTAAATTTCTTATATTGTTTGTATAATATAATATAAAAATAAGAAAAGGTTGTAAAAATTATTCATGAGTGATACAAAGTATTTAAAGAGCGAGTTTTTTTTATCGATTATGTAATATAAATGGGTTATTTATTGAAATTGATAAAAAAAAATTGATTTCAACTTCTCCAAGATGTTTATACATAATATTTTTTCAGACATCATTTAAATGTTAAAATGATAATGTTATTTTTTTAAATTATCCTAATAACATATTTACATTTTATTTTTCTTATTTAAACATTTTACACGTTATCAACGTAATCTATAATATATTTTTGTTTACACAGCATAGTTGAAACCAAGTAATGGATAAAACTAGCTTTTGTCCTAATACATCTATAACTACGTAATACATTTGATTATTATTAATAAATACTAAAGGAAAATGATGTAAAATTATTAACAAGTGTTCAACTTAATAACATAATTTTTAATTGTGATAACAGGAATAATAACGAAGAATATTTTTTAGAAAAATCTGTCGTCATTTTGACATTGAAATAAAGAGGGTTGACGAGATATGTCTATTTTTTAATTACCATTAAATAAATGACTGCTACACTTGTGAAATTAAAGTGCATAAAAAAGCCAAATGAAGATGTGCTTTATAAGTTACTTATTAATTTCCATGTTCAATTATTTTTTGGTGAAAATATAAGTAAATAAATAAATTGTTAAATAAAACTCTATGAAATAAATTTGACATTTGGTCTATAATTATTGACGAGAGAGTGTTTCACAGAATGAAAAGAAAATTAATGAACTAGAAGAAACATTGATTGAAAGTTATCAGTGATTAGTTGTGATTCTAATAACAAGGGTAGTAGTGAAGGTTATTCTCTGTACTCCATTAAACTTGAACTCTTTAAGAGTTTATTTAAATCATAAAAAAAACGTATTTCAAAACTTCCTACAAATTAGACTTCTTAAATCAAGCAATGCTTTTTAAAAGACAAACCAGTGAATCTACTGGTGGAACTGGTAGTGCTGTCAACATTACTAAGCAATCATCTATTGCTGCAGTTCAACAATCACCAACTTCTAGTCCAACTTCATCTAATTTATTCATCCAGTGGTATACTAAGATTACGTCAAATGTCAAGAAACGACAGCCTTTCAGTCCTAAAACGTTGCTCAAAAAAGCTCTGGTATTTTTTTGCCTATTTTAGTGATATTAATATCATTTGTTTTTATTTCAAATGTAATTTTAAATGAACTCATGAACCATTAGTTTTAACTTTAAAATTCTTTGTTTTATCGATCAATAATCAAACCAAAAGTGAAAAGCATGTTTGATATTATTAATTAATTTATTTTCTTCAATATATATTTTAAGATAGATATATTTTTATAATAAAATAAATTAACTCTATTTATTTATGATTATAGCTACCAGTTGCAGATCCTTTCATACAAAAAGTCTCTCTTTCTGACCTTGGTAAGTATTTGAATTCCTACATATTCTCATCAGTCAAGGTATTCAATTAATTAACAATGTCACACAGTTTTAAATTATATATTTTTTTAATCAAAACAATGATTTCTCAATATGAACAAAGAAAAGTCATTTGTGTTTCTAACAAAATAGCTGAGTTATCCATTTATAGAAACGAAAAAGCTTTTTTTCAAACCCCAAATGAGATTCTTTTTGCATAGAGAGATCATAAATTGTTCCTAATAATGCACATGAGGGTAATAGTAAGTAAATTATGATAAAAAATTTGCATAAAACGTCATCGAACTTTCAATATGATGATCAGGTCAGTAACTGCGTCACAGTAACGATCGATAGCTTTACCCATGACCCTGACCTAAATACGTGAAGCTTATGAAAAAGTTTTTCTTATGAACTGCGTAATATTTTTTGGGAGATATTTTTGTTGTAGTATATAATGAAATCTCTTGTATGTTTTCTCATTCAATATTCGATAACAATTGAGGGTTCGTGCCCTGCACAATATGTCTAGAGTTAACATATACTTGCACATGTGCGTATTTTGAATTATTCAGACACTTGAGATGAGTCATCAATAAAACATGAAAAATAAATAATATATCTCCATTAAGTTGAATAAATGATTGTTTTTAATTTTAATTGAAGATTAAAAAGATTAGAGTATAGTTTTAGATATTTACAAGAAATAAATGATAAATAAAATGTATTTTCTCCTTTCTCAATTGATGAGTTTTATCTAAGAATGAAAAGCAATTATTTTTATGGAAATATTTTCTTTTTTTTAACCAATTAGTCTCATCATTTTGTAAATTTTAATTATACCAGAAGAGTTTAAACTGAAAAATAATAAGTATATTTTTAAAAAATACAATATCCGTCTCAGGTTATATTTAAAAATAATTATGAATGAAAAAAAAAAACAATTTCAATAACAGATAATTTCTGATAAAAATAATATTCATATTATTTATAAATATCTTACAACGGGTATTACAGCTTAAAGTTCAAAAGCCATTCATTATTTATCTCAAAATATCTTTCAATACTGTCATGAAAATAAATCCTATTAATTGTTGCAAGCTATCAGGATTAATTTCATGATTGTTAATTTCAACGAACTTTTATAAACTATCTATCAAATTATATCCATCAAAATATCAACTTGAATATTTTTATTAGCTTTAAACTCAATAAAAGCAGACTACTATTCTCCCGGGATACTTATCGATCGTTGCAGAACACCTACGCGTCTGAATGAGACCTGAAAATTGAAGACGAGGCTACTACCAATAAACTGTATCCACCTCAGTATTCATGTTCATAATAATAGTTATAACGACAGGTTGTACGTTCATTCAGGATAAAACTAGACTGATCGATAATCAGTAAAAATAGTCGTGCATTTCACCTGTTGCAGGTAAAATCAGAATTATTTTATAACAGTCATGAAAATTACTTTATTACTTTTATATTCAGGCTTCATTAGATATAATTGTAATAGGATTCATTGAAATGAAGAAATTATTTCTATTTAATATGGATATTCAAGTTTTCAATATACTATTATATGCTGTTTTTTATCAACATTTCAATTTGCACATGAATTGATCGGTAATGAAATAGCTGTTGAAGTTATTAGAATTTATTAAATGTTTGATTTATTTTTTCTTTTTCTCTTAATTTACTGAATGATGAAAATAATTCTTGAATTTAATTGGAAAAATTTTTTAAACTCTAATTAAATAAAATTAATTGTCCATTGAACAATAAAAAAAAAAAGTAATAATGATAAAGATTTTTATGAAAAGGTTTAATGATGAAAATACTAAATTTTGGATAGTCTCTTTGATTAGCGTTGGAAAGTAGCGCCGTATCTTTTTTTTTGGCAGACTTTCGGTGGATTTTCAGACGTTATTCTTGGCTAATGTGCTGGCCGATGATGACGAAGAAACTCGTCGACGATTACGACCGAGATGAAGGAGAAACTGAACTGTCGAGAGGCCACAAATGTTAGCCAGACGTAATTTTCAGTCATTCAGTTTCGCTAGTCCTAAAACACTGTGAACTAGTCTATGTGTTGTTTACGAATTTTCAGAGAACAATAGACATTAGTTTGATTACTTCACGAGCTTTAGACAACACGAATTACCTGTGAAAGTTTCGATCGAATTTTAGTGACAACGAACATGTTTTCGATTAACGATTAATTGAATAAAATAAAATAAAGGACAATTAGATTAAATTTGTTTAATTCTTCAGAAATATATATGAATAATGTTGAGTGTTTATTTTTGTTGCGTAGAGAGCTTTAACTCAAGTGTCTATTTTGATTTATAATTAGCTACTGTTAGAATGATCAGTATTGAATATGTTGTTGTATTTTTCATTAAAATCTCAACAGATTTTCTATTAGATTATTTATTATTCTAATTGAAAAATGTCTTCACAGAATTCTTGATGATAGTAAATATTTAATTAGTTTCAAAGCAAAAAAAAATACTTTGAAAAATCAATATCAACATCACAATAATATTGAAGGTTTATCTGATCTAGTTGAAGTTGATGTTGGCCAAATTTTCAGTTCTATTTAAATCAATTTGAGTGTCTTAAGAACTCATTAGTTGTAGTTAATTAATTACAAAATTAATGGCAAGAAATTGTAGATTGAATTGATGTTATTGTTCAATTACATTAATTATGAAATACAAGAACGAAATGTATTATGATCAACAATCTTATTTACTAAACGGATTCGTAGCCTTTAAGTAAAAAATTATAAATCTCTTTTATCCAAGAAGATTGACAGATAGATTACAGTAATGCATTTTGTAGAAAATGCTGACATTATATTATTTCTCAAATGCAAAGGGAGTAGGGATTCGAAGAGTCGCTTCTGCTTGGTGGAATCAAGGAGACGATGATCCTGTATATTCTAAAGATCTTATCAAAGAATTTGAAGTAGAAAATCCACCACTCGAAGCTGAGCTTGCCTGGATTCTTTCCAAAGGTATAGGTCATTGCTAAATCAGTTTAATAACATGTTTACACTAAAGATGAATTATGGCCATCAATAAATGTCAATTAACTGTTTCGTCTTCCTTTCAATTTATTAAAAGTTCCTGATTAACTTTATTACTTAACATAACATTTTTTTAATGAACTAGTTGATATATTTTATGACATTTTAAAATCATTTTCATGTTTTAGAAATATAACATTACTTTATAAAGAAGATACTCTTGTAACTTAAAGTTAAAGTAATCATGTAGCTACTCTATTTTGAAGATTGATATAAATTGTGTTTTGTCTACTCATAGTAACTATTAATATTTTAAAATAGATAAGAAAAACTCGAACGTTATCTTTACTTTAAAATATACTTTTTATCGACAAGTCGATTGCATTACATTTTTTTAAATATAAAAAAATGCTCTTTTATTTCAATAAATAAATTTAAATCAACATTTTTTAAAATAGAAAGTCTATTATTTTTAATTTTAGAAATGATCTCTATACATAAAGTTCAATACAATGATAGATGAAACTTTTACAAAAAAATGTGTAGCTAACGAATTTCCTGTGTTTAAATAGATAACATGAAATTGGTGAGTTGTACAAGTTAACAAAGAAAATGATTGAGTTTCTTTTCTTCCGTGGAGTCTAAAAGGAAGCGAAGATTTTTTTTTTAGATTTTTTTCAAATAGATATATGGAATATTCAAAATATAAAAATAAAATGTTTTTCTTTTCAATAATCCCAATATTGTATTAATCCATTATCTATTCAAATACTCAAAAAAAAAAATGGCAGCTTTTATACACAATAAAACTATAATAAATCAATCTAATCCATTCTCTTTAATGAAACAGGTGCCAATGTTGTACATTTATTTCTAAATTTATTCATTTAATTTACACTTTTGGACACGCTCAATTAATTTTCAATTAGTCGTACTTAATAATATTCCTCAACTTCAACCACGGTCAATTTAACGATTCAATCCTCCTTTTTTAACTTTCGAAATCGTATATTTAATTGTTTTATATAATCTTGGGCTTACTTAACAAGTTAACTTAGATATTCTAGTGTTTATTTTATTTAAACTTCTGTATAGGAAGAGTAACTACATGAATTAAGTATGTTTAAGTCATTTAATACTTTATTTTTTATTCTCAAGAATAATAAGCTCTGTTCAATTTGGGTCATCATAATTCAAAGAGCATAAAAAACATGAGAAAAAGTTTTAATTTAAAGTTCATTTACTTTTCTAAATATCTAAATAATTCAATTTTGAACTATCTCCAAACATTAAAGTGCAAAAATTATATTAACATATGATAGGATACATGAAAATGGAAATATTGATTAAATAGTCCACTTCCTTCATTTCATTTACTCTTCAATTTTCTATGGAAATCATATTTAAACAAAGTATGAAAACTTCCGTTTCATGCCTTTTCTTTTTATGAATTTACATAGCTGTGTGAAGTTAATTAATAATCGATAGATATATTTACGTTTTTTATCAAGATAATTTTTTAATTTTCTACTTTAAAAAATGTGTAAAAAGCTTTCAAACAATATTTATCATTCAGACCAATTCTACCTTGAAAAAATTCCATCCTCTTACGTCAGAAATACTTCGTTTATACCTGAGATTCTTAAGAAAAATCTAGACCAGAGAAAACTTTTTTCTCCATCATACCATTCACTTCGTAATTCCTTCGAGGGCATTACCCAGCAGCTCTTCAGTGTCAAGTAGAACTCGTATCTGAGTGGTTTCTTCAATAACTACAAACGTTTCATCATTACATACAGATACAAAATACTTATACGAATACATATTTATCTATTTGATGTTGAAGTGTTAGTTGATTATTTCTTTTAATTCAATATTTTTGATAACATTTTATAGCTAAATTAATTAAAAACAGTGGAATGATAATAACTAATAAAGTAATAGTAGTGATTAAAACTGTTGTAAATAATGTTGCATGATGTTAAACCTTATGATGCATTTTGTTTCTTAAAAAGTATCATAGCAGTGGTATGAGTGGTAGTATAAGGAAATTTTATTAAGAAATTTCTGTGAACAGTTAAGACATTAGGTTATCCAAAGAATCTTTGGCATCATTCCAAACCCACAGCTATTCCTCTCTGTTCTTTGTGCTTTGATGCAGATGAAGGAAAATATTAACAGTGTGACATGAACCATCTAACTTTATTTGATAACTAATTAAATTTTTCTTTATGATAAATAGAACAAAAACAATTAAAAACTTTATGCATGAAGCAAAAGTAGTGAAATGTGTCCATCAACTTGAGTATTTTTTTTCAATAAACTCCATTTCACTTCATTTTTTTTTTTTTTTACATCTTATGAAACTCATACTGTGGTTCTATTGATTAGGTTTTTATTTTCTGTGATGTGTTCAAGGTGATCATAGTTGTGATGTATTATAGGAAGTTTTTATCCTGATCAAAGTCCATCAATTGCAGCAAGTTATAAAAAATTGGTGATTAAAAAATACATTAAGTGCAGACAGGAAATTTCAAGTCCAGTCATAAATATCTGAATATTGATCAAATTGTTAGCATAAATTCGTCAATAACATTGAGCTGTGTGACATTGGAAATCAATTATTTATTTGCACATTAAATAAATCAATAAACATAATAGTTCGATAAATTTTATTTGAGCAAATTAATCATAAAAATGAGATAATCGTTTAAATTTGTTGTGTAACAATGATATGTGAAAGAAAAGACTTGTAAGATTTACCTAGAATAAATGACTCATTATTAGAGAACAATTTTAAAATAGTGATCAAATTCATCAGTTATAATATATTAAAGAAGCAAAGTAGTAAAAATGAGGAGAAATAAGAAAGCTTTATTATATTGTGAATTGTTTGGACTTACAGAGAAAGATGACTGCCAGATCTACGTCAAATTCTTCAAATTTCACAAATGCTATGATCTCATACCTACCAGTGCAAAGTTGGTCATATTCGATACTCGTCTGGCGGTGAAAAAAGCATTCTTCGCACTTGTGTACAATGGTAAATATTCTTCTATTTGTTATAACATTTTTTTCAACCTATATTCTCCTTCAAGCATTTTATTTTCTAAATTTATTTATATTTTCTCCTATAAAGAAACTTTCTGTAAAACTTTGTATCCTCTTATATTATTACTTTTTATACAATACTCTTAACGAAATTTTAAACGCAAATTGTAATCACACAGATTTACATTCAAGTTTCTTATAATAGAATTAATCCTATGTATTTACTTTACACTTTAAGTGCCTTTTTATTTCTTTAATTTAATTTTAATTCTTCTATTTATTTATTAATGTATTTTAATATTTTAGGCGTTAGAGCAGCTCCACTTTGGGATAGCTCTAAACAGCAATTTGTAGGAATGTTGACTATAACAGATTTTATAAAAATTCTGCAGAAGTATTATACTAGTCCGACAGTCACGATGTATGAATTAGAGGAACATGAACTGAATACATGGCGAGGTAAATAAATAACTTTATTTTTATTTTATAACAAATTTTTCATAGATTCATGAAAACAAAGAAAAAACTAATCTTAAATAATTCCTTTTAGATGTTTTGAAGGATGAAATTCATCCTCTAGTTAGTATTGGACCAGATGCTTCGATGTATGATGCCATTAAAACGTTAATTCAAAATAGAATTCACCGATTGCCTGTGATAGATCCGGAAACTGAAAATGTTCTATACATATTAACCCATAAGAGGATACTCAAGTTTTTGTTCCTTTACGTAAGTTGAAAAAATTAATTAATGGTTTGAAATTCGGTTAATGAAATTTATAATGTAAATTTATAACTGTAATTAAAACTTATAATATTAATGACATTCGTTACAGATTCATGAATTACCTAGGCCTTCCCATGTGAGTAAGACTTTAAGAGAGTTGAGAATAGGTACTTTTGAGAATATCGAAACAGCTACAGAAGAAACTAGCATAATTTTAGCACTTAAGAAATTTGTAGAAAGGCGAGTTTCAGCGTTACCCATAGTTGATTCTGAAGGAAAATTAGTTAATATTTATTCCAAATTTGATGTAATTGTAAGTACCTTTTTATTTGATTGAAATATTCCATTTTAAACATATTGAAATGATTAAAAATAATTATTTATTGTAGAATTTAGCTGCAGAAAAAACTTACGACAATCTAGATGTGTCTCTCAAAGATGCGACAGAGCACAGAAGTGACTGGTTTGAAGGAGTACAAAGTTGTAAACTAGATGAAACATTATTTACTGTAATGGAACGAATAGTAAAAGCTGAAGTGAGTTTTGTTTAATACTAGTTTATCGAGAATAATGAGTGGTCATTAAGTTAACATATTTAATCCTAATTCTAACTGATTTTTTCAGGTTCATAGGTTAGTGGTTGTAGATGAAGAAGAAAAAGTCATTGGAATAATATCTCTTTCAGATTTGTTGTATCATCTTGTTCTTAAGCCTGGTGGTAGGTTAAAATTTGATTTTTATCTTTATTAAAAACGATATTTATATTAAATAGTTGAATGTTTTCCTAGGTGAAGATGGCACAAGTACCAAAGATAGTTCATTATCACTTCGAGCTGAAGATTCAACGAATTCAGCAAAAGCTTCAAGTTCTGGACAATCAGAAGCATCATTGGCTGACGATGAACCTGAAAGAGAACAAGAAGCCGTAGATTCTAATCAAGTTACAGATGTTGAGGCTGCTCCAAGTCCATTATTAAGTCCTGCTACCTCTGATATCCTCGAGTCTCAATCAGCATTAGTTGAACACTCACAGAAGTCAACTTGGCGAGAGGTTGCAGTTTCCAGTGGTGAATGAGTTGATTGTTGATTGTTTTACTTTCGTTAAATCCATTTGCGATGCATATATATGTATCCATCGGAAACTACTAAATGAAAGTTTTAAAAATGAAGTCACTCTGATTAGTGTTTATTATGCTGAAGGGGAAATAATTAAAAAAAATACTCTCTTTTTATCAAGAGAACAGGACTGAATGCTGCCTCATTTTTCAAACTAATTTTATTTTAAACTTATATAAAGTTAAGAGCTATAAATTAAATCAATCTTGCTATAATTATGAAAAACAACAACAAATAGTGTATAATGACTTAAAGCAAAATCATTTTTACTAGAAAAAAAAATTTTTTCACGGCGTGATGTATTTGAATTAATATTTGTTTCTTTTTCCATTTCAATCACTATTTGCAATCTAATATTACTTTTATATTAAAAATTAATTCTCGGGTATATTTTACTTCAACTCATGACGAATGATTTTTTCTATATATAATGAAATAAAGAATAATTTTGTGCATAGTTTGGTAGATGGTTCAATTTAGTATGCATAATATTTATAAAGGAAGAAAAGATTTCAATAAATTTCATTAAAATGTGATAGATTAGAGAAGGCCAATGAAAAAATAGTTAATTATTCTTTTCAAACGATGCAACTAATTGCCATTTATTAAATAAAATAATGGAAAAGCATTGATTTTTCCTGTGTATATAAACAATAAATCATAAAATAATAAATAAATAAATACAATTGTCAAGCTAGTTGGTATGGATTGTTAGTAGCAGTATACAATTGACAGTTTTTAACAGCAAATTTGTAATTTTAAAAATTCTCTAACTGTTGCGCTATGCAACACTGCTAAAGAAATCATGACTTTGTAGATGTAGCTCACAAAAAATGCTTAGTATAAAATATCGGCGATACAGTTTCATTTTTTAAAAAAATATATGCAAGTCACAAAAAATAATTAAAATAATAGAAGGCATACTAAACATTGAATTAAGGGCCTATGAGATTGAAAGAGATGAAAAACCAAAAAATGACTTTAGAATTTCTAGTACTTAGTGTTTTCAAATAAATTTAGCTTTGGCAGTTGATTATTATTTTCATTGAGTTATCCGCTAATTTTAATCAATTAATTTAAATTTTGATGTCCTTTAAATTAAAATTTATAGAATGTGTAATATGTTGTATAAAAAGTAATGTGTGTAGCGATGACTGCAAACGGATATGCGTTTAAATATGCGATCATGATTGTTAATATGAATGTGTAAATGAAAAAAGGCATGAAGTCTTGCCACCATCGGCATTGTACTACAAAATAAAATGCTACAAATTATAAGGTTGTTCCCTGCAAAATCTTACATGCAGTCTACCAATTCTGTAGAAAAATATTTTATTAAAAAAAAATGAAAATGGAAGGATAAAAGTTTATTCATAAAATAAAAGAAAGCACATAAGTTTCTTTCCGCGGTGTGCCTTTTTAAATTAATGATAAATGTTTGTAGAAAGTTACATATGGCATTCTAAATCTTTCACGAATGCATATTTTAATTTGTGAATATAACCAGTAATGTACAGCAATTTTATTATTTATTCGTATCAACAGAGATGATGTTCGAACTAATTCGATGCCGATATGTTATTCAACATCTAATGCATTATATTATTAATAGGGAACATCCTTAAATTCAGATGATCAACGAATAAAGCACTTTAAACAAATTTTGTGGTTTTTTTCTTTTTATTATATTAATTCTATATTTTTAAGCTTAATGTTTTATTCACTAACCAATTATTCGTTTTTTTTTCTTTACAAAAATAGTAAAATATTGTATAATTAACAATAGCAACACATTTCATTTTATCGTTTAAATTTATTTACAATTATCAAACATTTTTTTTCTTTTTTCTAGATTTAGAATAGCCAATAGCTTGCATTTCATTAAACATAGCATCGTATTCTTCATCAGTATTTATATCTTCCTGTATATCCTGAATACTTTGACCATTACTTCCATTTACAACCTCTACCTCGTTTTCTTCTTTAATGGTTACTGAATCCTTTTCTGTACTTAATGCGAAATCAGAACGTAAAACTAAGCAACTTAATCTCGAAGTTAAATAATTCTGTAACCAAAATATGCTTTGTTAATAGTAAGTAGTAAAATTTAAATACTATTTGTTTAAAAATGAAAAATTTTTTATCTACCTTTTGCAATAATTTTTTAGTATTCAAGTCATGCACTCGAAGGAATCTGTCCAATCCAACACTGACGATATAGGGGTTATCTTTACTACATGCTATAGCAGTAATTCCTCCTACAAATCCTTTATACGTGTTTAAAATTTTTCCAGGTTTACGTAAGTCAACTAAATTCATTATTCCTTTTCCTGAGCCCACAACGATATGCCTAAAATTTAATAAAATGGCTTGATTAAATTTGTTTATTTACGTTTTTTTGATTAAATTTAATTCTACTGAAAATCATTAAACATCCAATAAATCATCTTATTTTGTTGTTATAAAAAAAAATCTTTACTTCTCCTTGGGAGCAATTGCTAACGTTGTTAAAGCTTGGTCTTTAATTTCTATATTTATAACTGGTCGTCTTTGTAAAGCTGGATCATATAAACGGATCTTTAAAAATAAAAATAATGTTATTCTTAATATATAATTAATTTACAACATAAAAATAAAATGAATTACTTACATATCCGTATCTACTACAAGTTGCAATTTTTTGTGAATGTGGTAAAAAGCCTATGTCAGATACCCATTGTGGAACTCGTAACTCTAACCAATCATTTCGAACATTTTTTTCTTCAAAAATTCTTATTTTTTTCTCTAAATCAAACAATTGAAGTTTATGTTCTTTACCACCTGTTGCTATTATATTTTTATTAACACTAGAGTGTTTCATTTTGTGTAAATTTTCTCCAGCTTCTATCACCAACTCATCTTTTTTTCCATATCTCCAAAGTTTTACATGACCAGATTCAACTGCAGTTAAAATAGCACTAAAAAAAATAATAAATTATCATAATACTTAATATTATTGATGTAAGAAAAGAATAATTGATTAGTAAAATGTTAATAATTAAATAATTTACTCATTATAACGAGAAATTCCATTTATTTTTCCTGTGCCGATGTCACATCGGAAAGTGCTAGTGAATGTACCGCTCTCGCTATCGTAGATCTTTACACTAAAATTTACAACATTTTGTTATTTTTTATAGTAAAAAAAATATTCTTAATAATTTTTAATTAATAAAATACCTTCTAACTTCATTGGAACCACATCCTATGAGTATTTCTCTTTCATCTTCATCAGCCCAAGACATTGTTGTGATTTCATCGTCTTTTGTAATCGAAACTAAATTCTGTATATTTTTTGTGATGCATGTCTTTTTATCAAATTTTACACCTAAAGTAAAGAAGTTTAATCATAAATTAATATTTTTATAAACAAAACATGGAATATTAGATGTAATCAAAATTTCAAAACAAACCTTTAAAGACTCCAGACTTGCCACCGACGAATATATCAAAATCTTTTGTAAATTCCTTCATAGCTGTATTTATTCTTAAATATATTGCTATATTTTTTTTTTTTCTATCAAATATTGATAATTATTAGTCAAACAGTTTTTATGAATAAAGCATGTTGTTTGGCAACACGACCAGAACCATGTGAGAACAAATATAACCTCACTTTTTTGGAAGTAAGGTAGATTTCTTTTTTTACGACTTACTCTATACAACAGCTGATAAAGTTGTAGACTATGATTAAGAACATATGATTACCTTGTTCAAAAACGTTACAAACATTAAAAATTCACTACGTATTGATCGAATTAACGTCTTATTCCTTTTTATTCAAGTCTTTCAAATTGAAATAGTAAATAATTTGAAGTGAATTTAATACAATAATAAAATTGTTATTATTTCTAAAAAATAACGTACATTTTTGCATCCAAAATTGGAAAATGTCAAATTCAAGCTCACCTTTAATCAATCCTTCTGATACAATAATCACAGAAGATGGAAAAAGACTTCAACTACTGACAACAGAAAATTCTTGCTCTAACTTGAATCATGAGTCAATGCCACATAATCAAATCTACTGTCCTATTACTAATTTTGACGATTTAGAAATTATTGCAAGTCTTTTTAATGAAGACATTGATATTTCTCGTTTAGAAGTAAATAGTCAAACTCTGCTCGATATTTCTATTGAAAAAAATAATGAAGAACTTGTTAAGTTGCTTTTGGATAAAGAAGCTTATGTAGAGAAAGATTTCAATGAATTGATATGTAACACCATAAAAATTGGGAATGAAAACATAGTTAAACATTTACTTGATCATGGTTTCCAGAAAAATTTAACTATTGATATAAAAGATTGTTTGGAAGTAGCTATCAATGAAAAACACCTGAAAATAATTGAACTATTAATGTCTTACTGTTCAGTGAAGAAAGTTCTCGGGATTTCAATTTTAAAAAGTGTTGTATTAAAAGATGGCCAAGAGTACAAAGAGTGTATTGACCTTCTATTGAAACTAGGCTTGTCGATTGATAATCGTATTAAAAGTCATGATGTTGCATTTTCAGCTGTTCAAAATGGACATACGATAATTGTTGGAGAACTTTTGAAGCTTGGAATAAATGTGAATTGGGAAAACAGGAAAACTAAACTCACTCTTCTTCATGTTGCAGTTTTATATAACCATTTAGATATTGCTCAAATGCTAATAAAGCATAATGCTGATGTGAATTGGATAATTGTTAAGAAGAAATGGCTGGAAAAGAATAAAAAAGGGTTTGAAAAAGTTACCGAGTTAGGGGGAAAAACAGCTCTGCATATTGCTGTTGATAATTGTAACTTGCCAATGACAAAACTTCTTCTGGAAAATGGTGCTAAAATAGTAGATGATATGAACTTTTTCAAGATTACCTGTAATGCTATTCAAAATGGTTCTTTAGAGATTGTTCAATTATTTCTAGAGTATGGAGTTCACATTAATAATACAGATGCTGGTGGAAAAACCTTTCTGCATTTTTGTGCTACTTGTAAATTCCAATCTAGTAATGTCGGATGTGATATAGCAGAGTTTTTGTTGGGAAGAGGAATAAATATCAATGCTGAATCATCAGAAAAAAATACACCAATCATCCATGCAATTATCAATAATAATACTGAATTAGTAAAAATATTTTTGAAGTACAATGCCAATATTCAATATGCAAATCTCGAAGGGGATACTCCTTTACACAAAGCTGCCGAACATATGGTTGATGAAGAAATAGTAAATGTTTTATTGAGCCATAATGCACACGTTGATGTTGTAAATAAGAAAGGTTATACACCATTGCATGTAGCTTGTCGAAAAGGTTCAGAAGCAAAATTACAAACGATAGAGAATCTACTATTTTTCAAGGCCAATATCAATTGTTTTGATAAAAATAATAGAACTCCATTACATTTCGCTTGTGAAAACGGACATGTTTCAATGACTCAATTGCTTTTAAAACATGGTGCAGCCGTTAATGTAATAGACAATGATGGGAATACTCCACTTCATTTGGGATGTAAAAACAGAAATTTACAAATTGTTGAAAATCTATTAAAATATCAAGCTAATCCCAATATCAAAAATATTTATAATAAAACGCCTCTTCTTATGATGTCTGGTAAATTAGAGGAATGGCTTCCAAATGCTATTGAACGGTTATCGCAAAATGAAAGAGATTTTAAGCACATGGAAACAGTTATTGAAAGACATAAAAAAAATTTAAAAATTATACAACTACTTCTCGAATATAGAAGTGATGTTAATGCTGTCGACAATGAAGGAAAATCATCACTTCATATTGTTGCTGAAAAGAACTATTTCATGATTGTTAAAGTTCTTCTAAAATTTAATATTAATCTCAATATAATAGATAACAAAGGTCAAACTGCTCTTCATTATGCTGCAGAGAATGGAAACTTTTCAATAGTTAAAAGCTTGTTAATACATGGTGCTGATGTCAATATAACAAGTGATCAGAATAAAACTGCCCTTCATCATGCTTTAATTGGTATAACTCGAAAGCAAAAAATGCTTAAAAATTATCTAAAAGATCCTAAAGAAATTTCTTATGATGAGTCTGTTCCAGCAGATTACAAAGATGAAAATACTGAATCTTATCAAAAAAAAATTAATTCTTACAAGAATATTATAATAATTTTGAAAGAACATATTATTAAATTGAAATGTGCCAAGTTAAATGTAGACTCGAAAAATATGGCTCTAGCTTATAATAAAATTACAAGTTTAAATGTATCTGAATTTGATCCCTGGGAATTTAAGAGTAACTGTGAAAAAGAAATAGTTTCATTGAAGTTGACTGAGATTAAAGGGAGTGATATTACTTTCTATGACTTATTAACTCAAGATATTCTTTTCTTAATCAAATATGCAAATGATAAAAATATCATGAAGGCTTTACTATCAGATGCTAATCGTAAAATGTTCCCTTTATATATAGATATAATAACACTTCGATTTATGACAAGTGCTCAACGATATGATTTAATGGAGGTAGCTAAAAAATATTCCCTTCCGACTATTTTTCAAGGGCTGTCTTACAATTGTGCAGATGAAGTGTTAAATTATTTTGATATTAATGAACTAAAAAACTTTATAGAAACTGTAAAAAGTACTAATAATTTTGATCAATCGAATATATCAAAATCACTTTTCTCAGTTGGATGTCAAACATCGATTAATGAATAATCTAATTAAATGAGAATTACTTACAAAATTCAATTTAATTAAATTTTTTTCTCAAGTACTATTCTAATCTAACATTGTTTTTCTACGAAAAAAAATATTTCATATTTATGTATACGTTAAATATAGACAATTTTATGGAATTTTTTGTATTCTTAATGATAAGTTCTTTAACACGTGTTCCAAATGTCACAAATTATTCAAATTGTAACAAATTAATGTTTTTGTACGGTTTCTTTTGAATAAAAATTTCAAATAAATTAAAAATTATATGTCTTTTATATTTAATCTTTATTTTCACTAAATTAACAATGATATAGATAATTTTTGTCACTACAATAAGAAAGTGATATTGGAATTTATTCATAATATATTTACTTACGATCAAATAAATATACTAATACAACATTTACTTTGATAAACATTGTGTCATCATTTAATTTTAAAAGGTGGTCTTCGAAGTAAGAATTTCATAAATATTCATGTTGAATCTATCGATATATATAGATATTGTTTTTTATTTTAAGGATTAATGTTTCTATCAAACACATGTTATCATTAACAGTATATTTTATAATAATTATCTAAAAATAAATCTCCAATAAAGTTATAGATGTAATAACTGCAATAATATTATGATTTAATTTTTATTCATAAACTTAATACTCATAAATTGAATATGAACACAAATCAATGAAAAGTATACTATTATTATCAAAACAAAATAACAATCAAGCTTAACTAATTACTTAACATTCCAAAAAATAATACTAATAAATATAATTTCAACATTATTTTTCCAAAAAACCTGGTTTCATTGCTTTAAGAAACATATCAAGTTCAGAATGATTTAAGTAGCTAAATATCTCATACATACAACATGTTGGTAACTTTTTAAAAATATATAATTTCAAACATTCTTGAATTTTTTCATACAAATACCTTCGTTGTTGAATCTCATGTAGATGACATTTTAAAAAATGTGCATAAATAGGAAACATATGCTTCAGTTTATTCGATTGTACAGACTTCACTAAAGATTGATTTAATGCAAAATTCACTCCGTCATGTGGTTTTCTTTTAAAAAAAACATAGTAAGTTAGACAACTATGATCAAAATGGGTGATCTTCATTAAATTAAGCTCTTCATCACAAGCAAGTTCATAAGACTGAATCCATTTTAAATTCTCTTCATTTTTCATTGTGTAAATTTTTTCTAAAGATGTTTTTCGAATCCCTGACTTAATAACTTTCATTTTAACTATGTGTTCAATATATAGTTTAATTAATTCATTTGTTGAATTATATGTGGTACAATAGTTTATACGTTCAACTAAATTATCAAATGCTGTATTATTATCTGAATCCACACTATTAACATCAGCACCAATATTTAAAAATAATTCATTTATAAATGAAAACCCATCCTCTACTGCATGATGTAGAGGGGTTTTACCAGATTTATTAACACAATTAACTGATATATTTTCTTTAACAAGAATATTCAATGTATTTTCAGTATGTTTTTTTATATTATCAATCCATAATGTTTCTCCGTTTAATTCAAGTTTGCCTACATAGTGAAATACAGTATTACCTAATTTATCTGGTATATTAGAATTTGCTCCATTTTCTATGAGGTATTTAACAACCTCTGCATTTTTGATAAAACAAGCCAAGTGAAGTGGACTTGTTAAATTATCATCAACAGCATTGATATCGGCCTTATAATGTAAAAGAACTTTTACACATTTAAAACATGCTCTATATTTTTTTTCTCGATTCATTGCTAAATGTAGGGGAGTTTTCTCGTGGAAATTTTTTGCGTTAACATTAGCATTTTGTTCTAAAAGATATTCAAGAGTTCTAAAATTATGATTTAAAGCTGCTAAATGAGCAGCTGTTCTTCCATCATTATCTTTCAAATTAATATCGTAAGTGGAATTCAAAATGAATTCAATAATTTTTGTTTTAATATTTGGATTTATTGATGCAATGTGTAGTGCAGTTCTTCCTAATGTATCTGTTATATTTACATTTGCTTGATTTTTTAAAAGGAGTTCAATAATAGGCAAGCACTCTGATTCTATAGACAAGTGTAGCGCTGTTTTGTTGAATTTGTCTTTCATATTAATATTTGGATTTTTTTTTAATATTAATTGAACAGCACTATAATTTTGGGCTTTAACTGCCATATGAAGTGCAGTTCTCTTTTCGATATCCACAGCATTAATATCAATATTAAAATTCAGGAGAACTGAGGTACATTGGTTGTTTGAATATTGACAAGCTAAATGAAGCACATTTTTGCCTAATTTATCTTGAATGGTTACATCAGCATTAAATTCAAGTAGAGTTTGTGCAAATTCAATATTATCGGATATTACAGCATAATGAAGAGGAGTGTGGCCTTGTGAATCTTGAAAATTAATATTTGCACCTTTCTTTAGAAGAGCATGAATAACCTTTGGACATGTTTCTTTATAAAAAAATTTTGGTTGAGGATTCAATAATTTTCTACTTGAATAAAAAAGTGGAGTTTGTCTACGTAAATTTGAAAGATTAGCATCTATATTATTTTTAAGAAAAACTTCAATTACATCTAAACTTTGTAGTTGTGCTGCCAAATGAAATGGCGTATAATCGAAGAAATCTATAAGTTCATAATCCGCACCTTTTTTCAAAAGAATATCAACAACATTTAGATTTTTTGCAGCAACAGCATAAAAAAGTGGAGTTTGACCATTGTCGTCTCTTTCATTAAGTTTTACTTGATTTTGAAGAAGACTCATTAATATTTTTTCATTATTTCTTTCGGCTGCGTAGTGAAGTGGTGTTTGATTTTGGTTATTTTGAATATTAACATCTGCACCATTAGTTATCAAAAGATCCACAACATTAGGAATTTCTGAATCGACAGCAACAAGAAGTGGTGTCCAGCCTGCCTTATCTTGTGCATTGATATCCAACTTATATTCAAGAAGAGTTTGTATAATTTTCGTATCTTTTTCTACCACTGCACGATGTAATGGTGTACCATTAATACCATGTAAGTAAAGTGCAAGTTGCTTTGATGAATTATTTATATCGATAATTTCTAATACAATTGTAAGAATAACGGTATATTTTTCTTTTACGGCTTTGTTTAATAAATAATTACAATCATTCTGTTGCTTGGTACTAAGATGAAGAATATCCCAGCAACCATCATGTATATCACCCAAAGAGGATTCATCACTTGTAGAGGCTGCTTTTTTTAATAATATTTCGTTAATTTTAAAAGTACTTTGAGGAGGAAAACAATTGGTAAATTTTGGTCCTTTATAACTTAAAAGTACATGACCATGGTTATCAGGGTGATGAAGCTTTAATGGAATTTTCTTTTCAGTTTTAAATCCTTTTTTGATTGACGTTATGAGAATTTCATTATCATTAATTTCTGACAAATGGGACAACGTAAGTTCAGAAACTGCAATACTCCTTGTTATAGATGAGGAATCATCTTGGGTTTGAACTGAAAAAAAAATATTTAAAATTTAGTTATTTCTTTAGATTATATTATTTTTAAAATAAAAAAAATGAAAATTCAAGGATTAAGTATCTCAACATTTCTTTTCATAATTTCTTTAGGGGTTAATTTTTTTTTAAGCATACCTGTGTTCTTGTTTGAATTAGTAATTCTGCTAGACATTTTAGCACATATTAAATATAATATTTACTAATAAATAGAATAAATATATCATAAAATCATTAGGACTCGTTATTTGCTTTAATTATTTTTAATAATTAGATTCATCGGTGAATTCAGATTTTATGACAGTTACAATTTTCGTTGAATATGGCGCAAACGAATTACAAGGTCAAGGTTGTTATATCGACAGTTGATATATTTTAGACACATAAAGCCAGCTCCATCAGAAAACAATAAAACAATAGAACTAGGATAATAGGAAAAACAAAATTTGGAAAGTTTAACGGTATTTATGCAAAAATAATCTGTTATTTTTGAAAAATGCATAGTAAAAAATGGTTTAAAAAGCATAATATATAAAATATTATTTAATGTGAAAATATTTTAGTATAATCAAATATTCATAAAGTAGATCATTTTGTCTAATGAATATTTAAAAACGATAATTTTCTTTTATTTTTACTTTTGTATGTACATTTATCATATTGCCTGTCTGGTATTAGATATGACATTTATTTTTCATCATTAGATAAAAAACAGTTGTGCAAACTTTTTGCTTTTGTTGTTCTATCTGTTACAAAAATAACACACCAATTAAAGTATGTCTCACATTAATTTAATCGATATTTTTCAACATAAAATTTAACCTTAATTTAAGTATTTTCTGGTTCTTATTAGAAGACACTACTCACATATTAGTTTTCAATAAGACTTCACTAATGAAGGTTCTACAATGGAGTATTCATGGCTGTTTATAAAAACTTTATTAATCCAAGTAACTTTTTTTGGCTCATCAAATGCATTAGACATAAACAAACAATTTATACAACAAAATAATACAGATCTTGATTTGTATCTACCGAAAAACGTAATTCCAGAATCATATATAATACGGATAGAACCGAAATTTAAAAATCATGAATTCATTGGAAAAAATAAAATGAAATTACATGTAAAAACAGCTACAAATCTAATTATATTTCATTGTGGAAAAAATATGAATATAACATTAAATTCAATAATGAATAATCAGAAGAGTATCATGATACTAACTTCTATCTATGATAAAGAAACTGAAAAATTCACAGTTGTCGTTAATGACACTATGCCAGCTAAATCAGTTACTGAATTAGTAGTAGATTTTTCTGGAATTTTATCGAGTGATATGAAAGGATTTTATTCTTTTGTTTACTGGAAATATATGAATATATTTATGCAGAATGAAACTTTGTTGTAAGTCAATAATCGTCTCATTATTTTTTTTTTTTTTATTAAATATAATTAAGTATCATTTTTTTAGAATATCTTGAAAATTATTATTTTGCAAGTAAAATGATAAATTATCACAAATAATTTCAGGAATGTAGCAGGAACTCATTTTCAACCCACCTATGCACGTTACGCTTTTCCTTGTTTTGATGAACCTTATTACAAAGCTATGTTTACAATTGTCATTCGACGGCCGATATCATTTTTATCTTTATGTAATTTGCGATTCAACAAAACTAATTTAATGTAAGCATTATCAATATTCGAAATTAATTTAAAACAATACAAATATTTACAATAAATTATTTTTTCTTTCGTCTAGAGATAATAATACAGCATCTGATGTATATAAATCAGATATACCAATATCAACATATCAAATATCATTTTTCATATTGGAATTTACTTGTATTAATAATACTCAGGCTACAGTTCAAGTTTGTGCGCAATCCCTGAATAATAAGTATTTGTCAAAGGCTTTACAAGTTGGTGAAAAAACTCGAAATTTTTTTTCAATACTCTTGAATGAATCCTATCAATTGCCACTGGTTACAATGATTGGAATTCCTAATAAAACTCCTGAAATCACTGCGAGTTCTACATTTCTTACTTTTAACGAAAATAGGTTTCTCTATGATCCAAAGGTTACCTCAGATATTGATTATGAGAGGATAATTACTACAATTATTCAGGGATGGGCTTCTATATGGTTTGGACATATAGTGACTCCAGAAAAATGGGATTATGTTTGGCTTAATGAAGGAATTGCTACTTATATATCATATTATGCTGCTTCTGCGGTAAAGACATCCTAAAATAATCAAGAATTCATTTATAAGTTATAAAATGTATTTTTCCTGTCCATAGACTAAACTCAGTTTAACTTCCATGCAACGAGTTATAATCGATCAAGTACATCCTGCTCTTCTTGAAGATGGAATGGGTTTTTCGAAATCTTTGACTCGAAAAATTACAACATTGGAAGAGACTGAGCAGGTTCAAGATAATATTATATCTTCCAAAGGATGTAGTATTGTTCGAATGATACATTTAATGCTTGGAACACAAGTTTTTAACTCAGCTTTGATTAACTACGTAACTTCAAGGTAAATCGTAAAATATTTAATTCAACATCAAACATGTATTAATTTGATTTATTCAACAGAAAAACTAAAACATCAACTCCAGCTAACTTTTGGTTTTCCTTTCAAAACTCTATCAATCGTTTTCACCTTAAACTTCCAGTAAATTTGAAAACAATTATGAACTCCTGGACAATTTATCCGGGATATCCTGTTCTTCATGTAAATAGAAAAAATAATAAAATTGAATTGCGTCAACAAAGATTTTCTATTAATAACTTAGATTCAATCTCCGACGACACTGTATGGTGGATTCCATTGACTTGGACAACTGTAAATGTTTCGAATTTTGAAACTACTAGTCCTAAATATTGGTTTCATAAAAGAAAAGAAGTAATAAACTTAAACCATAATGCAAGCGAATGGGTGATATTTAATGTTCAACAATCAGGTGAAGTAAAAGACTATATGATAACTAGACTATATCATAACTATAAATTAATATTTAATTGGTATGTCTATATTCAGGCTTTTATCGGGTCAATTACGATCTAGAATTATGGTCACAAATAATTAATGAATTAAATGCGAAGAAGAAAAAAATCATTCCACCAATAAATCGTGCTATGATTATTGATGATTTATTTAATTTAGCAAGAGCTGAAATGGTTCCGTATGCTGTTACTTTAGCAGGTGTTTCATATATTTCACAGGAAACTGAATATTTACCGATTAAAGCAGCTCTTACTGGACTTCAATATCTTTATGAACGTTTCGCAGGACGAGAATATAATATCCTTTTTAATGTAAGTACTGAATAGTCTATGTTACCTTGAATAAATTTTTCTATACTCAATTATTTTTAAAACATTAATTTTATTTTTATACAGAATTTTTTTTTACAACTAATTTTACCAATTTATATAAATTTGAATAACTTGGAGACACAAGGAAAATCTTCATCAATGAATTTTGTGGAAAAAGACATAAATGAGTGGGTTTGTAAACTTGGCTATGAAAAGTGTAATCAGAATATGCTAAAATATTTTTATAAATGGAAAAATGATTCGACATACGTGTAAGATACAATATTCAATTTACAAAAGAACGTAGATGATTTCAATATAAATAAATTAAAATTTTATTCGTAAATTAATTATAGAATTCCAAAAAATAAAAAAAGTCTTGTATATTGTACTGCAATAGAAAATGGACTTCTTGAATATATAATTGGCTTCTACTTTGACGTTGATAATGCAATTGAAAAAAATATTGCCAAAAGAGCATTAAATTGTATATCCGATAAGAGATCTTTAACAAGGTAGGATTAATAGGAGAAGAAACATTTGTTTTAGTATTTAATTATTATCAACATAATTTTTTTTTTTTTAGTTTATTAGAATCTGCAATAAAAAATGAAGGATTTTTTTACATTAACAAACAACAAACTATTGAAACATTTAAAGCAATAGCTCAAAGTAATTATAAAAATGCTGAATTCATTTTAGAATTTATCTCATTCTTTAGGGAAGCCGTGCTCGACTAGTGAGTATTAGATATTTATATATTTTTTTCATAATAAGACAAATTATTCTTTATTAATACTATTTTTTTAGTTTTCAAGATCAACTGATTATTGCTGATATAATACATGCAGCATCTAAACAACTTTCCACACCGGAAAGTATTAAGAAACTAGAAAATTTCATTAATGATAACAGCATTCATTTTGCAATTATTCATGATCATTTGATAGCAGCATTGAAGTATGCAAAATCTGAAGTTGATTTTTATGAAAGAAATTATCAATCGATTGTAAATTGGATTAATGAAAACGAGTTAAATTTTCGGACATCATTATTGGATACTGCAAAAAAACTTAACTTCAAGCATATACAACAAATATTGAAATTTGAAAAAAATAAACGTGAAGACGATCTTCTTCAAGCCCTAAAAATAATACAGAACTTTTCGAAATTCGATTATTATTCTGCAAAACAAGTGTTAAACTTTATTAAATATCTCGATGACAAGTTTACCGGAAGATGCATTTCAGACTCTTTTAGAAATTATATTATGGAAATTATAACGCCGGTATATAATAAATTACAATTTGAAGAGAAACTATACGAAAATACTGAAGATAAACTATTGAGAATAGAGATAATAAAATATGCGTGCTTATTAGGAAATGCAAACTGCAAACAAAGATCAAAGCAATTATTTAATAATTGGCGAACGAATTCATCAGCATTATTTCCTGTAAATCTTCGTAGAATAATATTATGTACTGCAATAAAGTGGGGAAATGAAAATAACTGGTTTTACCTTTGGGCTCAATATACAAAAACAAGTCTACCAAGTGAGAAGGATGTAATGCTCCAAGCTTTAGGATGTACACAAAATCGTACCATTATCAACAAACTCTTAATATTTGCTGTATTATCTAATCTTGAAATAGAAGAAAACTTGAAGATTTTTTCATCAATTTATGCATCGGGACTAAATGGCATGGAGCAAACTCTTGATTTTATGTTTAAAAATCGGACGATCATATATAATTACTATAAGAATGACAGCATTATTAAAAATATTTTTGAAAGGCTGTCAAATCATTTGACTACTAGAAATTTGTTATATAAATATTCTAGTCTGGCAATTGCATATGGGAAAAAATATCCCAAAATCGCAGAGTCTTTAGAAAAATATCTATTTGTGGCTAAAACTGAGTTATTGAAATTTGATAATCTAAGTTTACAAGCATTCAAATGGTTGTGTTCTATATATCCTGGTAAGAATCCACTTCCAAAAAGTATAGTTCCACAAAAATATGAAATTTATTTGATTACATATTTCAATCCAGACATTTTAAATTTCGATGGATTTGTAAACATAACACTAGATATTTTAAATGACACTTCATACATTGTTCTCAATGTCGGTAATTTAACCATTTCTTCTGTAACAATTCATTTTATTAAAGATTTACGTGCCATTCCGTTAAATGGCAGTCCTCTGAAATTAAATAATAAATTCATCATGGCTTTAAACATGACTGTAGAAGCTGGAACACAATTATTAGTATGTATTTCATATAAAGGATACTATAATAATGTCCCGAACGTATTTTATCGTTCTTATTTTACTGATAAAAATGGACATAAGCATTGGATAGCTGCTACACAAGTACAAAAGTATGGAGCTCTAGAATTATTTCCCTGTTTTGATGATACCTATTTCAAAGCTATGATTCAACTTAATATTAAGAAACCTGATCTCTACTATTCATTCACTAATATGAAATTAGATTCATTTGATTATTCCATTGATCAGTTTGGTGATGTGGATTACTATAAAACAACTCAACCAATGTTACCTAATGATATTACGATTATAATAACTGATATAAAATATTTCACGGATACTCCAACTGGTTTTAAAATTTGGCTACGTCCACGTCTTGTTAAAGAAAATATTTATCAATCACATACCTCTTCTTTTCAATCAAAGGATGATCTTGGATGGATTTTAGTAAACCGCGAGCAAACAGGATTTTATTATGTGAATTGTAATTGGATAACTTGGGAAGAAATATTTGAAATGTTAAAAAGAGAAAACTTCGGAGGAATATCCGTGAACGATAGAGCTCAAATAATTAATGATCTGTATAATTTAGCCAAACAAAAATATATTTCCTTAAATATATATTTAACTGGAATAGAATATCTTATTAATGAAAGAGATTTATTCCCTTGGAAAGTATTTTTAGAATCTTTCAGCTATATATGGAATAAATTTGACAATCCAGACATAAATAATGGTTTGAAAATTTACTTATCACAATTAATGAAACCCACTTATCAATATCTCGGTTTTACAAGTAAAAAAAACGATACTCGATCAAATAAAGAGTTAAGAGTATTAATTTTATCATGGGCCATTTATCTGAACTATTCTGACTTTATTAACGAATCGATAACTGTATTTAACCAATGGCGAGCTAATCCTGATGATTCTTCGTTAAATAATATTCTTCATCCTTATGAGATCATCTGCAATGCTTTGAAAAATGGAGATTTTGATGAATGGCAATTTGTATGGCAATACACTTTAACAATGGAAAATAATTTGATGAAAATTTGTCTAATTCGTACTCTTGCATGTACCCACAATAAGACAGCTTTAAATATTTATTTACAACATATCTTTTCTGACAACAATTGGATGAATACCAATATGAAAAAATTAGCACTCGCATCTATAAATGATAATATAAAAGATGGATTCGATACAATTTTGAATTTTTTACTGGACAATGATTACAAGAATAACGTCTCGTAAGTATAAAATATTTAATAATCAAACATTACAGAATAAAATTATATTGTTTATAATTTTTTCAAAAACACTAATTAAATGAATGTTGTAGCTGGAGCGTTGTCAGTACTGTATTGATGCCTCAGATTATAAAATATCCTTTGACAGCTTCCCAATTAACAAAGGTTAGAAATAAATTGAAAAATTTTTAAAAGTTTATAGATTTAGCACTAATTTTTATTTTTCAACAGTTGATGTCAATCGTGAACAAGAATAATAAAAATATAAGTGGTCTGAATATAAAGTACTACAAACAATTAATGGATTTATCAGAAAATGCAAGATGGTATACGTATTGTAAAGCTGACGTTGAAAAATGGTTAGTGAAAAGAGGATTTCTCACGAATTCTAATATTTTAAAAGATACTGTTATCAATGGTAATGAAGAATTGAAAAACCATCATACAAAAAATTAAGAATAACTTCTTAGATGTTAATATTAACTATTATTAAGTTTTGGAGTAGTTTTTTATAATTTTTAATATTTTATTTGATATTAGCGTATAAAATAGTAATAATTATGGAGGTAAATATACAGATATTCATTTTAGATTAACATTTTTACTAATACAGTATAAAAAGGAAATTTAACGAAATATATTTTTTAAGTTAACTCATAGCATATCTATTTCAAAGGCAATGAGTATTAGTAGTGAAAGCCCATAAAAAATGACTGATAATATTTATTGGTACTTTTATCCTCATGAAGTCATAATTATACAAGATCAATTATTAGATATTGTTTTTGATAACTTACTAGTGAATTCACAATTTTATATTTTTATTATTTTAATAAAAATATAAATATTACTATTATAATTCTGATTGTTTTTTTCTGCAATATTAGAATATTCATTTCATCTTATTGATGCTTGTCTCACATTATCCACGTGTTAATATGAATATCATAACGAAAAATTAATTTTTTTATACAATGTCTTATTTTAAGAATGATATGTTTAGTATATTATTTGATAATTCAAGATGTTCGATACAATTTATTAGACGTATGTTGATTTATTTGAGTTTAATCTTTACATTAAAATATAGGGTAATTATTGGCAAAATTTACAAGAGGTGATGACGCAATTAAAAAATTATCATAACAAATAATCATCGATTAAATAATGACTATACAAACTATAATGGTTAAATATGAATTCATTGAAAAACTTAGGAATTTTTTTTCTTTTTTTCCGAAATGACATTTTATTTATGATTCTTGTAATAGTTAATACTTTTTAAAGAAAGTCTGAAAATTTTTTAATTATTAAAAACTCTTAAAGCGTTCATGATGATTTTTTACAACGAATTGTTACATTATTACTGAAGATCATTTAATTATAGAGAGAATTCTTTCTATCGAATTTCGGGGGAAAAAGCTGAACAGTCAGTAACTTTTAGATGCACTGCCAATTAACATAAATCCAGGATTTAATTTAAGTGGTATCATTTTTTACATAGAAGTTCATTGAGCTTCAACAGGTTTCTTGTCTCGCATTGAAAATTTACACTCTAAATATAACACTTCATTGACGTCGAAGAAGCAGAAGTGTAAACATTATTTTAAACTTAAAAAAACAAAGTATCTACACACTTATAAAAATATGTAAATGAAAAGGACAAATATTTCAATAAAATTGTAATAGAAAATTACATTCTTACAGTAACAATTTCAAATACAATAGAATCGTGCAAACAATTATCAGTGCATGAATTTTATCAAATTCACTGTATAAAAGCATCTGGGTATATTGAATATGTTCAGTTTTCAAAGATTAAATTATTTAATCATCTTTAGTTATTTGTAGCGAATAAATACTATTTCCCATTAATTGAAAATTGAAATTATCTGAATAAACCTTGAACTTCTCTTAACATCTGTACAAATATCTCAGTTATTTTTTTAATCTATGAACTAACTAACTATTATGTTTTATGAACTTTATCTATTCTTAATTCTGTTAAGATATTGAATGGTTTATATTCAAAAATAAAGCTATTTATATTCTTTTATGTGTGATTTAATGAATTTTATTTTCAATGATTTTAAATTTTTTAACTTATAATACATAAAGAAAAATTTACATTATAAAAGCGAACAATCATTATTGTTTTTATAGCTGAAACACAAAAAAATAAAAAATAGTTCAAAACATCGTGATTTAAACATAAAAGTAGTGAGACTGTCTTTATAATTTCAAAGTGCGAGACATAAAGGATAATTCTGATTATTTTTATAGCTGTGACTTTATTTAAAATGAGATAAGAACCATTAATTTTCACAAATTGACATTTTAGTTAAATTATTATTTATGTTTCAAATTCTCTTGAAGTTTATATAAATGATTTTTTTCACCAGTTTATAATTAGATAATTTCGTATTATCGACTGTTGTGGTAAGAGAACACCTGTATCAAATACTCGTTCTATATCAAACTTCTGACGATCAAGACTATCAAAAATGGAATCTTCATTACTATTATTTGCAACAGTGTTTATTAAAATTGGTCTTTCATTTTCAACAAATTCCATTTTTATTTCATTTGTATCAGACAATGAAATAAATACAGAAAATGGTAATCAGAATTTCATTTTACAACCTAAAGAATGGGAATTTTTATGGCTTTCAGAAGCATTTATTTCTTATTTCAAATTTTCTTCTAGAGAGGTAAAATGAGAGAAAAATATTGAAATCATATTATCTTAAAATTTTGTGTATTTGTTACAAAAGAAAGTTGATACATTCTATTTTCAGTTTGTTGATGATTCTGATTTGGAAAACGAATTTATAATTAATCAACTTCAACCAGCTCTCATTCATGAAGGCATGGATTATTCACATCACATAAATAAATTAGTTCACACAACAGAACTAAAATCTTTAATGATAATACAAGAAGACATTGTTAACCATAAAGGAAATTGTATCGTTAGGATGTTGCATTTGTCTCTTGGAAATTCTATCTTCAAACAAGGTTTAATTAATTACTTGCAATCAAGGTAAATTTGAAAATTTATTTTAATATAAAATTATTATGTATTAATCAATTTTATAAATTAACAAAAAACCTCTATGTATCAAGTGAATTCCAGTTAATGAGTCTAGATGATCTCTGGTATTCCTTTCAATATCAAATTAACAGACACCATATGAAACTTCCAGAAGATATAAAAAAAATTATAAATTCATGGATACATCAAACTGGATTTCCTGTTGTACATGTAGAAATTAAAAATAATATTGCTAAATTACGTCAAAATAAATATTTCCTAAATGGTTTAACTGATAATTCTGCAAATAATACATGGTGGATTCCATTAACTTGGACATCTGCAAATAAAAAAAACTTTAAGGACACCATTCCTAAGTATTGGCTACATAAAAAGGAAGATGAAATACAATTGCAAATTGAAGAAGACGAATGGGTCATTTTCAATATTCAACAAGCAGGTAACTATGTGTATTATAATTTTTAATATAATTTTTCACTTAAAATTCATTATTATGTTGTATCTAGGCTTTTATCGCGTTAATTATGATGAAGCATCATGGCATCGGATAATTTATGCATTACATTTTCATGATTTGAATAGTATATCAGCAATAAATCGTGCATCTATAATCAGTGATACATTTAATCTCGCTAAAGCTGGAATTATTCCTTTCGAAATTGCTTTAAACACCATCACTTATATCACAAGAGAAACTGATTATTTACCTATTGAAATAGCACTAAAAGAACTTGAATTCCTTTTTAAATATTTTGCTGGTCAAAGTACAAACAAAATTTTCAATGTAAGTACATCATTTTACTTTCAACATTGAATTAATTTAATATTCTTTTTTTTCTTTTATAGAAATTTTGTTTGGCATTGATCAAACCAAGTTATGATCGTTTAAGTCAATACGATCAAACAAATGGCCTTTTTTCTCGTAAGCTACAACAGAAATTAACTACTTGGGCTTGTCTTCTGGGCCATAAACAGTGCGTTCAAAATGTTTTGCAGAATTTTGAACGTTGGAAGAATAATTCTAAAATATCGTAAAATCAATTTTTGACAGATATTCATTTAATTAGATTAAAAATAAAATTTAATACTGAATTAATTGATTTTAGAATAACAAAACATGAAAAAAAACTCATGTTTTGCATCGCTGTAAAACATGACTTATCACTGAACAAAAATGGAGCGATCAGAACTATTCTCAATTATTATTCAAAGACTTCTAACATATCAGATAGAGCTATTGCTATATCATCATTGAAATGCATTAAGGATTATGAAATTTTACAAGAGTAAGCATAATTAAAACAAAACATTATTTTAAAACATAAATTCATTGTTGTAATTTTATCATTTTTAGAATATTACTGATGCTGTTGAGTAATCGTAGCGAAAATGTTATACAAAAGCAAGAAATTCTTTATGCTTTTAAAGTGATTGCAATAAATAGTTACAGAGATGCTGAATTTATATCTGATTTTATTGTTACACATCATGATATAATGCTTAAATAGTAAGTATTAACATTAAATTATGTCTTGTTTATCATATGCTGCTTATTTTTAATTTATTTTTTTTCAGTTACGGTAATAATGATATTTTCATCGAGATACTAGAATCATTATTTGAGTTACTTCATGTAACGAAGAACTCGGAGACACATTATGGTTATCAAGTTAATATTGGAGATGAATTGTTTCAGACTGTAGATACCACATTTAAAAAAAATACATACCATAATGATTTTTATACAAATTATTATCCACGTATTATTAAGTGGATAACAAATAATATATATTTTATATCACTGGAAATTGAAAGAGATGCCAAAAATACCACGGAATTACTTGAAGTAATTGAACGTTCTAATCAACTTTTAACATCATTTTATGAAACAAATTTATCTACAGATAACTTATTTATATCAACAAGCTTAAATAATTCTTTTCTGAATGCGAGTTATTTCTTTTGGAAAAGAACTTTTAATGATTGGGCGAATCTTCAAAGTAGAATAACTTCCTTAAATGATCGAAAAATTTTAGAGTATCATATGTTAAAAATTGTATCGCCGATTTTTGATAAACTTGGATTTGAAGAAAAATCGGATGATACTTACGAAGATAAAGCTTTAAGAAATGATGTAATTGATTGGGCATGTAGATTAAATCATCCAGATTGTATTTTAAAATCTTTAAAATTATTCAAAAGCTGGAGATCACCGTTACATTCACCAATTCCAACAAATATTCAAAAAACAGTATTTTGTACTGTTATAAAATATGAATTTGAAGATATGCGATTTTTCATAAGAAGATATCTACGAACAAAAAATCCTCACCAAAAATTAGCTATTGAATATGCTCTAGGATGTATAAGTGATGTTGAAACCATTCAAAATATCTTATCAATAATATTAAATATTTATTATTTACGAATAGAACACCGACTGAGGATTATTTATTCAATCAATTATTACGGAGGATTTGGATTGCAAGAAATTCTTAGATATTTGTGTGTTATAAACCCTCAAATACCTAAAGATATAGAAGAAATTGATCAATTACATGAAATATTAAACAAAATATCAACTTATATATCAACTCATGAACAAATTGTATTGTTTCAACAGTGTCTTAATTTTTACTCAAACTCAATAACAGATTCATCTTTAATATCGTTTATAGATCAAATTATTGATGAATTAAATCAGTTCGATGTTTACAGTAAAAATTTTCTAACATGGTTAAAAACTACATATAAAAATTTCGATTATCGTCTACCTAAAAATCTTAAACCAATCGAGTATGAATTGTCTATATTTCCTGACTTTAATAATTTCTACGGTTCAGTTAAAATAACATTAGATGTATTATACGATAGTGATCGTATTGTTCTACATGCGACTGATTTGTGGATTGCTGAAATTAATGTTCATAGTTTAAGTACTGATCAATCCATTAGTGTACTATTTTTTTTGCAACAGCTGGATGGAAGGTGCGAAATTTATTTAGACTCTGTTATAAAAAATGGTACAAAATTAGTTGTAACGATAACGTATGGTGGGTTGATTAATGAAAAAAAATATGGAATCTATCATCTTCTCAACAATCAAGATAATACTGATTGGATAATTACTACACACTTCCAAATGTCTCATGCTCGTCGGGCATTTCCTTGTTTTGATGAACCTTCCTTTAAAGCCAAATTTAAAATAAAAATTCTTCGGCCAAATGATTTTATATCAATCAGTAACATGAACATTATCCTTTCTACACCTTCGCCTATAAAAATTAATTGGACTTGGGATGTTTATGAAGAGAGTGATATAATGTCAACATATTTAGTTGCTTTTATTATATGTAAACACAAGACAGTCTTTGCACATGAAAATCATTTAAAATATTGGTCTCATCACAATTCAACTCCCTATGCTAAATATTCATTAGAGGTTGCTTATAAAGCAATAGAAATAATGTCTGCTTATACAGAAATATCACTTCCTCAGAAAAAAATAGACTTTGTAGAAATTCCAGGATTTGATATGTTAGGTATGGAGAACTGGGGTATTGTTATATTAGATGATCAACTTCTATCACTTTCATCCACTCGTTTAAATGCAAATACACTTCAAGTAATCACATTTAAAGAATTTATCGTGGCACATGAGATTGCTCATATGTGGCTTGGAAATTTAGTTACTTGTGAAACATGGGAATACTTTTGGCTCAATGAAGGATTTGCAAGGTACTTCGAATGGAAAATAATGGATACTATTCAACCACAATTAAAATGGATAGAAAAATTCATAGTTAATATACAACAAGCTGCATTAACACTTGATTCTCAGACCTTTAATTTACCATTGAATAATAAAAAACTGACTTTAATTACTCTGGAAAATGTAAACAAATATGATAACTCAATTCTCATTCATTATAAGGCTCCGTGCATTGTTCGAATGATGCATCATGCATTTGGAGATAAAATATTTAGGACTTCTATCAAGTATTATCTTCAAGAAAATATGTGGAGCACTGGTACACCATCAAAATTGTGGAGTGCAATAGAAAAAGTATTTCACACAATGGATTACAAAACTAAAGAACCAGTAGCAACAATGATGGAATCATGGACGTCTCAACCAGGATATCCTATAGTTCACGTGAATAGAACTGATGGACAATTAATTTTCAAACAAGAACGATTCCTTTTTAAAAGGGAAACCGAACCAACGGAATTATATTGGATCCCAATTACTTTTACAACTAAATCCAAACCAGTTTTCACAAATACTTTACCAGCCTTTTGGATGGGATCACGGACAGAGTCTAAATCATTGCCAAGATCCAGTTATGATGAATGGATTATTGTAAATATTCAACAGACAGGATTCTACCGTGTTAATTATGATGTACATACCTGGAATAATATATTTAAAGCTTTAAATCAAAATGATTTTGGAGGAATTCCTGAAATCAATAGAGCACAGATACTTGATGATCTCTTTAATTTAGCATATGCAGATTACATTTCTTATGAATTAGCTTTTACTGGAGCAAAGTATCTGAGCAAAGAGAGAGGTTATCTTCCTTGGAAAGTATTTTTCAATAGTATGGAAAATTTATATGACAAATTTGATAATTTCACTATAACTGTGAAATTAAAACAATATATTAGAGATTTAATAACACCTTATTATTATGATATTCAACCTGAAAACAATTATATTTTTAATCATAAAGATGATCTTAATATAGTACAAATATTGGTGTGGGCTCGTAAAGTTGATTTAAATCCCTTAGTGGCTAAATCATTAAAAAAATTTAAGGACTGGCCGAAAAATTATGAAATGCCTATAAATACATTTACTTTATGCAACGTTTTACAACATAGTCCATATTCTGTATGGGAATTTTTGTGGAACCGATATTTCAAGACAACTTATAAATCAGAAAAATTAACTCTTCTTCAGAGCTTCGGTTGTTCAAGAAATGTAACTACACTTACTGAGTTTATAAGATTTGTAGTATTGAATGACACCCTGCAAACTAAATTCGAATTTAAAGTTGCACTTGCATCAATATTTTATGAGGAACGATATTCAACAGATGCTATTTTAAATTTTTTTATTCTTTATCATGAGGAATTGAATGCTAAGTAAGTGTAGACAGTTTTTAATCATTCATCATGGATTTTATTCTGCTTTAATTCTAATCTAATGTTTTTTACTAGATCTCTTTGGAATAAAGTTCACTTACTACTATTGGCAATTTCAAGAAATGTTTATACTTCTCATCAGATTCAACAGGTATTACAAAAAAAAAATTAAAACTTTTTGTTATATTATCAAATTATTTATTGAATAAATATTTCTCTTTTATTTTCAGTTAAAAAAATTGATTGATATTTTAAAAAATAAAAATGACCAAATTAGGAAACAATTTCAGGATAATTTGTCTCAAATATTAATTAAAAAACAATGGTTCGACAACCATATCTTTGATATTATACAATCGTTAACTAAGCTAGAAGTAATTCGTTGATAGTTATATTTGATATAAAATTATTTTTATATCCAAAATCGATAATTTAACTATCAATTAACTTTAATGGTAGAAAGAAAAATATTTCAAGTTTATTAGTTTTATTTTGTATAGATTTTAACGATACTATTTTAAACCAAAGCAATGTTAACATTCAGTATGATATTTATTGGATAAATCTTTTCATTGTCAGTATTGATCAACAGATCATTTTTGTAAAAAATTAATTATTATCTAATTAATTTGATCCTACTTTATATAAAAAAGTATTCGTTCATCAAAAGTGAAAGGTTTTAATCTTTAATTTAATATGTAACTTTTCTTTTATGGCCTTCACTTGATTCCTGGCTCAATGAATTCATATTACCTGAAAAAAAAAAAAAAATTTACTAAATATTATTTACCAATACAAAGAGATAATTATTATCAAATACACATTATTTCAGGTAAATCATTAAATTGTATTTAACCGAATTTCTAAATATTATTTGTTATTAATTATTGCACAATACAATGATTAAAAATATTTGTTAAAGGAAATAATTAATTTTAATGTACCAGGAAAACTTTGATTCGTTTTGACAATATAAATGATTTATAATTTATTGTGATCACTGAATTTTATTTGAAAAAATTTACTCCTATAATCAGTGTTATTACAGCCTTCGAATGTATCCGAGTTACAAAAATGAAGTTTTTATATAAATTTTTGATCATTTCAACTTATCAATTGATATTTCTTATTTCATTATCATTAATGCAACCAGTTATAAATAAAAATACTAATCGCATTGAGAATATTAAAACAGAAAAATCTTCAAATAAACCAGGTGTAGTTCCGAAACGGTATAATATTATATTTCGTTTAAATAGTGACTTTAGTTTTGTTGGAGAAGTTGAAATTCAAGCACAAGTTATTTTGGAAAATAATCAAATTGTACTTGATCATGGTAGTAATATTGTTATAAATTCATTATCTATTACCAATAATGAAACAGTAATTAACATATCATCTAAAAACTATGTTAAAAAGAAAGAAAAGCTCAGTTTTTATTTAAATGATACTCTACCAGTTGATTCAACAGTTACAATAAGCATTTCTTATACTGGAGATTTGTCGAAACATATTAAAAGTCTTATGCCGTTTTCTTATTGGAATAAAGATCAAGTATTAAAGTAAGTAAATCATTCATAAAAATTAGCATAAATGGATTGATAATTTATTTAATAAGTTTACTACTTTTAGAAAAATCAAAACTCTACGATATGAATTATCCTCAGCAAAAGAAGTTGTTCCTTGCATTAATTGTCATTGGAGAGATAAATCGGAGGTAAACATTTCAATAACGATTCGACGTCCTAAGACATTTATTCATCCAAAACATCGCTTGCCTGTCAATGTGTAAGTAATTATGATAATTACCAGCGTTTTTTTATAAATTGATAAGGAAAAAAAAAGCAAAATATTAAAAAAAATTAATAAATCCAGCGTTAGTTTTAGGTCTCATGGGTATGCTTTAGAGAAATATAATCTTCTTGAACCAAGAACAATAAATATTATACCGTTTCTGATAACTGAAATTGGAAAACCAAGTATGAGAAACTGGATTGAAAAATACAATTTCAAACTATGGTCTCCTACAATTGAATCACTTCGAGGACAAAATTATATTACAATAGATGAAGTAAATCGTTCATTAATAATTGATTATTTATTTAATTTATCACGTACAAATTTGATCGGGTATGATGTAAGTTTATCAGCCGCTCAATATTTAGTGCAAGAAAGAAGTTATCTACCATGGAAAACAGCTTTCAAACATTTTGAACTCCTAAGTAACAGATTAATCGGAAGTGATCTTGAACAAAAATGGAAAAAATATTTGTTCTCAATTTTGAATGGAATTTATTATGAGCTTGGATTTACAGAAGATGTTGATGATAGTAAAGAGAAAAAAATGTTGAGAAGTGATATTATAAAATGGACATGTTGGTTATCACATTTTGATTGTATTTCTCGTTCATCTCAGATATTTAATAACTGGAAATTGAATGGATCGAAATCAGTTTCGACCATGTTGCAGCAGACTGTCTTTTGTAGTGCAATAAAATGGGGATCTGATGATGACTGGAATTTCCTCTGGGCCAAGTATTTACAGACAAATGTTACAAGTGAAAAGAAGGCAATTCTACATGCTTTAGGTTGTACAGAGAATCCTAAAATAATCAATAAATTATTAACGAGTGCAATAACAAAAGATTCTGGAATTCAACTTAAAGATAGCCGAAGTGTTTTCATTTCAGTGTATTTTTCTGGACCAATAGGAGCTATGGAAGTCACTAATTTCATACGACATAATCGTCAGAAAATGCTGAAGTACTACAAAAGTGACAATCGAAAACTATGGAAGATTCCATTTATTCATATGTTACGGAATAATTTCAAATTGTTTAAGAGATACGATCCAAAAATCTTCGAATTTTTGAGCTATAAGTATCCTGATGATGACAGACATTTGCCAAGAAAAGTCAAACCACTAGAGTACCACATTCGTATAATTCCTGATCTGAAGGCAAAAAATTCTGCATTTGGTGGCTCTGTAAGTATGGTGCTAGAGATTTTGAATCATACGTCCTGCATTGTTTTACATGCCAAAGACTTGTTCATATCAAAAATTAATGTTTATAATTTTCATAGTTCCATTCCTTACGTAATATTGAACTATTCTTATGATAACTATGACAAACTTAGTATTTATCTTGGCACGATTGTCAGCTCTGGGTCTCGATTAATTCTTGATATTGAATACACTGGTTTTATAAACGAAAAACAAATTGGATTATTTCAAGGTTCTTATGAAGATAAAAATGGAAATACTCATTTATTTGCTGCTACTCAGTTAGAAAAAATTTACGCTCGACAGATTTTTCCCTGTTTTGATGAACCAGCATTAAAAGCGACATTTAAAATCAGTATCATGCGACCTAATTATTACTCTACACTTAGCAATATGAAGTTAAAGCATTCTGTTGCCTCTGGAAAATCAAACTGGACTTGGGATCATTATGAAAAAAGTATCCCTATGTCCACTTATCTTGTTGCTTTTATTATCTTTGATTATAAATACAATTATACTTTAAATAATGATTATAAATTTTGGTCTTATATGAATTTAACCAATGACGGTAATCATGTTTTAAAATTAGCTCAGAAATCAATAGATTATTTAGAAGACTATACAGACTTACACTCTCTCATAAAAAAATTAGATTTTGTAATTATTCCTGACTTTCATATAGGAGGTATGGAAAATTGGGGTCTCATCACACTTGATCATTTATATCCCATAAATTTTGATAAGTCTTTTTTATCAATGTTTCATGAAAGCATCATAGTTCATGAAGTTACTCATATGTGGTTCGGTAATTTAGTAACTTGTGATTCATGGGAATACCTATGGCTTAATGAAGGATTTGCAACCTATTTTCAATGGAATATTATGGAATCAATCAGACCAAAATGGAGATGGATTGATACATTTATCGTTCATGAAATGTTCTTTGCTTTAGAAGTAGATTCGGCTGTAGATTCGAAATCAATAAATGAAAAACAGAAAGACTATATTGATGATCTTAATGACGTAAAAGCAACGTCGATTATATATATAAAAGCTGCCTGCATTATTAGAATGGTAGAGCATGCTTTTGGAGCAGAAGTATTACATCATGCTCTGAAGTATTATCTTAAGGAAAATCAATTAAAAACAGTTACACCATCAAAATTATGGGCTGCATTAGACATGAAGATACATGAAATGGGAGATATTTCCAAGATTAATCAATCTGTATCAACATTGATGGAATCTTGGACATCTCAATCAGGATATCCTGTGGTTCATGTGAATAGAGTTCATGGTAATCTGAGTTTAACACAAGAGCGGTTTTTCATTACTAAGAGAAATGAATCATCAACACAATTATACTGGATTCCAATTTCAATTGCAAGTAAAACGAATCCAAATTTCTCAAATACTTCACCAACTTTATGGATGGGATCGAAGAAAATGCTTACGTCGTTATCAATAGCTGATGATGAATGGTTTATTCTTAATGTTCAACAAACAGGATTCTACCGAGTTAATTATGATGTAATTACCTGGAAGAATTTATTCAAAGCATTAAATCAAGATAATTTTGGAGGTATTCCTGAAATTCATAGAGCTCAAATTATCAATGATTTGTTTAATTTAGCAAGAGGAGGATATATATCATATGACTTAGTAATAGCTGGATCTAAATATCTTCTAAATGAAAAATCTAAATTACCTTGGCAAGCTTTTAATGAAAATTTTCATACTCTAAATAAAGAATTGAATAATGAGGATACAACAATATACTCAAAAGAACATTTTAAAAAGTTAATATACTTTAACCGTGATGAAATTATTTCTAAAGAGTCTTTTAATAATGAACAATTAGATAAAATGAAACAGAAATTATTATACTTTTGGAGTTGTAGACAAGATTATCATAATTGCATGTATCAAGAAAGTAGTTCGGTAAGACGTTCATAATAATATAAAAGTTTTGTTGTGTGTTTGAACTTTTTTTTTTGTTTTGTATTTATGAATTTCAATGAATTTTAAATAAAAAATAGAAAAGAGTAGTCAGATAATTTTTTAAGTACATATTTTTTTATTTTATTTAAATATTCAAAAAATGTATATAAACAAGTCTATATGAAGAAACGGATTTAAGATAAATCGACAATAATTATCAAACTGTCAATTAAAAATTTAGATACAGTTGAATGTGAAAAAAATATGACTAGCATATATTTATATATATTATTTTTCTTTAAAAAAGTAGGAAATTCTATGTAACCATAATATTATTCGAGAATATTAGTCTACAGTATAAACGCTAAGCACCTTCACTTTTTTGTTATTAATTTATCCAATTATTTTTTCTATTAATTATCAATCGTTATATTGATTACTTTTCTTCCCGTCAAATTTCGAAGTTTATTATTACTCGTCGACAACTTGTTTCTTCAAAATAACTCAATTATTTTAATTCTAATAAAATAGTTTATCATACTGTATTAATACTTAAAACGCAAAAATATTAATAACCATGATAATAATAATATCATACTAAATAAAAGTAATTCCTGGAATAATTTTTGTGCTTAAATGACTTAAATATTTATTCGATAAATTATCAAATGTTAAAAAAAAACACATTTAAATTGATTTTGTGGCTGTAATATAAAAAAAAAAGATTAATTATTAACTAAAAATAAATTTTAATTCACTTAAAGCAATTCAATTGTAAAAAATTGAAGTTTCTGCGCTATTTGTATAATTTTAATTCATTAAATATGGAATGTAAAATAATTTATTAGTGTAAAATTTAAAATACCTTCAAATTTGACTCGATTTTGTATAAAAATGGAAAAAATTTTTTCGATGTAGCATTTGAAAGAATAGAAGTTTAGAATACATTGAATTTTAGTAAAAAAATATAATAGTAATTCTACATTTATAAAAAAAACATGTAACTAAAATCAATATTTCTGTTAAGATGCATGAAATCCGTTTCAACCTGATTTAAAATTCTTTAACCAATAAATAAATAATGATATGATTGATCAATATTAATTAATACAAATTACTTAACACAACTAAACAAAATTAATTATTTGTTAAATTAATAATTGTAACTTTTTTTGATAAATTTTAAATTAAGACCGTAATAATAATGATTATTATAGTTGTAATAAATTAATTTGATGCACAGAGGAAGTAAGTTGAAGATAGAAATAAACGGCCTGTTTATTTTATGCAATCATTAGATTAGAAATGCATGAAATTAGTATCTATTGTTCCTTTATACCTAAACTCATTGTAGAGCTTCATTCGTTTCACCATTGGCAGCTATTTTATGCTTCGTTTGTTTTTGTACGTAGCTATACATCGTTTGAAGTGGTATATGAAGGAGCTCAACAATTTTTATAAAATTAGGTTCTAAAAAAATGGATTATTAAAATGTATTTTTAAAATGACTGATCAATATTCAAGTATCTGGAACAGATAGAAGCTGTATCTCTATAAATTATAAGATCTTAGGTACTAAAGAATAGATATATACAGTTTTTTTTTCAAGATAGAATTATGAGAGCCTTTTTAAAATTTATTTTTAATACCAAATGGAAGTTATTGTTCTCTTCCACAAATACAAGTTGTATACTATTAATTAAAAAATAAAATTCATGAAGAGAGTTAAAAGTAGTAAGAATTGTCTTACTTTAATCAGTAAAACGAGATACAACTTCTATAGTTTTATTCAACGAGAATTTCTTACCATTCTCTGCAGTGATATAACCATGTCTAATTAAAAAATCAAGAGCTACAGGAATAGACGTAGTTTTAAAATTAGGTGACAGTATCCTCTCTATACATTCATTAACCGGTAACAGCTCAAATGTTTCAACTTCTCCATCGCTATTACTTGGTACAAAATCTGGAGGTAATTCTAGGTCATAAACAAATTCCGTATTAGGAAATAAACCTCTTTCGCTTTCAAAAAATAGCGATACACAGCCTGTGCTTTTAAGTTTTTTTAATAAATGAGGAGGAATACTTCCTTCTTCTCCCGCTTCTTTTATTGCCGTCTCATCAATACCAAAACCAACACTTAAACCTCCACTGATCATATTGTCCCAAAATCCTGGCCATGTTTGTTTATTTGGACTACGTTTTTGTAGCCAAATTGATAGACCTTTCTTTGGATCATTAACATATCCATTAATATCTACACCATATTTCCGGATGCCGAATAAACCTAGAATTATAATAATTGAATTAATTAAATGGTATATCAATTTGTTTTCTATTTATGTGATGTGATTGATTTAATTGAATAATATTCTTAAATTAGATCTTCAAGCATCAAAAAATTATGAATAATGATATGGTGGATAAAAAGGTCAGTGTATTCAATCAAAGGAATAACATTATTTCAGATTATAATCTCTAGAGAGAAATAAAAAAATTATTAAAATTAGAAGACACACCTTAAGTTATCAATATTTTATAATCTTGTACATAAAAATGTACTACGTTTAAAAATAATATGAAGTTATAATTTCAATAGGCAATTTAAAAATGTATCTCAATAAAACTTGATTTAAAATCTACATGCAGTAATTATTTAAGTAACTTTTTTTAAAAACAGGGCTTTATTGTTTCATGAATTTTATAGAACTTTGTGCATTATTATGCGTAAATGGATAGAAAGGATTAATTTTAAAAAAATTTTTAATATTTACAAGTTGCAGATCGATCCATTTTAAAAAGAGGCGGAGTATTAAATTGTGCTCGGACTTCATAATATTCTTCTCTCCAACCTCTCAATGTTATAAACTTTTCTCCAGCTCTCCATTCTTGCAAAACTTCATTGACTCGTGCACTTCTTTCCCCATATCCTCTAAAGGCTGGATTAAGCTGTACACAGTCAGGTAAAACTTGAAATACCTGAAAAAATATACAAAAGATAAATATTTTCTTTTCAAAAAAATTTCCTTAACATTCCTTTTGAATATTAAATTTTATTCCTTTATTATTAAAACTCATTTCCGATCTTTTGAAATAAAAAATGGTTGGTACACTAATATCTCTTATACGTACTTGTGGATAATTTAATAATTCTTTCATGACATCAGGCCTTACAAGGCCCACCTGCTGTCCATCGACAACAAATGCTCTGCATTCTCCATTGCGAAAGCCTGAAAGAAAGAGATTCAAGTTAATATTATATTTGCAACTAAATTATTTACATATAAATCAATTATTTATTATTATTAATTAAATTATAAGTAATAAAACTACATATTGAATTCCATAAATTTGGTACTTAAATATGTGCAAACAATGGAATTGTTTATTAAATCAAATTTTCTGCTTCATTGATCGGACAAAATGAATTTTATTTTTAATCAAATGAATGTTATTTAATAGTACCTAAAAATATATCTTAAACCAAAATTATATTAATGTCTTAGCCTTGACGACTTTTGAATGCATAGAATTACGTATTACTGGTACTAGTTTTTTACATTGCTGCAAACAGATGAAATCTCAATAATATACATTTAATAAAAAGACGTCATCTAAATGTAAATAAACATTCATTTGTAATAACAATTGAACTTGTAATATCCCATACTGCCAGTTGACGATGAAGACAGTTTATTTGATGTCTATATCTATATACAAACAAAAGAAATATTGACTCATTTGGTGATATAAATAAAATAAATGAATTTATGGAAATCAAAACTAGAATGAATAGAATAAATTTAATATCGTTGAAAATATGTTTATGACGTTTTGGAGTTGTTTGAAAATAATAAATAAATATAAGTAGAAGCAACAAGAACTCGAAATCAATATCTCAACATACACAATGGAGAAAATACGTTTGATAGAATGAAATATCTAGGGCAAGCAGTCAATAATAGATGTAAATGATAAGTTTTATATTATTTTATATTACATTACCTGATAGATAAAAGCAGTTAAATTTGTTGGCAATTTTTAGTAACCGTGACATTGGTTCAGTATCACTATCAGCCATGATGCTCGTCATAGCTTGTCGCCGCGACTCGCCACAACCCCGTCAAACTCTGTAACTATATACCAATACAAACGAAATTTTTGGCCCAACCAGCATACATACATATACATTACCAATCCTTCCTATGCCTGCATTTTACCATGTATACATCCTGATAGATTCTGCGCAGTTGAATATTCACTTTTTCATTCATTTTTTATCATTTTTATGCTAATATTTAGTTAATACAAAATGCAACAAAAATAGAGAGTTATTTTAAATTCATTTACAATTAACTATTTTAGTATTAAGTTTTTTATAAGAGATTTATATTAACTTATATCTCCCGCGCACAATTGTTTCTAAAGAAAAAGATGGATGACAGGTGGCGCTTCATGTTTTGTACCAACTGTCGCAAAAGTATTTTTTGTTTATAGTTCGATTGAAAAAAGGTAAAGACGCCCGTGATTGATCAATTATATCTAGTTATAAATTAGAAATACAAGATTATAGATAAGTAACATAATTATTGGAAATAGTCAAACATTTAGTCGTATACATTGCAGTATTTATTAATTCAAAATATGAACGCGATCGATTTGGAATAATGATGATCGACAATCACCGGGAATATCGTCAGAATGTAGAGCAAACAATATTGATAATGCATTGGATAGTAAATCATGTCTGTAAGTATTATAAATTAATAAACAATTAAACATTGAAAATGTAGACAAAAAACAGAAAAGTCGATAAGTGATCACACGGCTCTACAGTTTTAATTAATCAATGATAATATTTTTAAGGTTTTTCACCTTAATGTTTTATTGCTGATAACACTTTACGACATATTGCTTGATGATAAATGAATAAATCTGAATTCTATTATTATCAATTTATTACAGTATTAGATGGAAAAAATAGCTAGGATAGCTCTTTCGTTTTAATCTTCTATCATTTCGCGCCATTTTCTAGACAATTTTTACCTGGTCAAAATTAGCTCTTACAGTTATCTTCTTAGTCAATCAAGATTGGTGAATATTCACACATAAGACTAGGCTCAACTCAAAAAATATTCCGAAGTTGACTTGACACTCTCGTGTTGGGCGATGAAAGACCAATTTTTTACTAGCATAAATCGTGCTCGGATCATAATTTTGACCACAACAATGAAAAGCTTTTGCTCTCAGGAATCTATTGATATACTTGTGGTCCATGTACCTCTTATAGATCGTGAGTTACAAGCGAAAAACGAAGCTATGCTGCAGCGAAGCATGGAAAAACCTTTAAACGCTCATAACTCGGAAACTAAGCGAGATACGGCATTTTTGACGGGGATATCCTATAGGGGGAGCCTAATTTATTACTTAGGTCCAGATCTTTCATATGAGCCCTCGATCAACCCCGTAGCACCATTAACATAGAAGTTATGCATATTTTTATGTTTTGCAGTTTTTCAGGAATATCTCCTGATTTTACTGACCAAATACAGTCAACAGCCAGTGTTTGGAAACGGTCTCGTCCCCCTCTTGCCAATGACATCTTTAATTTCACGATCCAAGCATAAATACGATTTTTTGCATTTTTTGAGGTTAGAAAGTAAAATTCTCGGATTTTGATGATTGGAGGTTATTCCGTACGTTCCGGTGCTCTAAAACTCGACCTTTAATAACAATTCATTTCAACGATCTTGTAACCGCAAATGGAGGTAAAACCGGAAATGGCTATAATTTTAGCATAAATCGTGCTCGGATCATAATTTTGACAACACCAATGAAAAGCTTTTGCTCTCAGGAATCTATTGATATACTTGTGGTCCATGTACCTCTTATAGATCGTGAGTTACAAGCGAAAAACGAAGCTATGCTGCAGCGAAGCATGGAAAAACCTTTAAACGCTCATAACTCGGAAACTAAGCGAGATACGGCATTTTTGACGGGGTTATCCTATAGGGGGAGCCTAATTTATTACTTAGGTCCAGATCTTTCATATGAGCCCTCGATCAACCCCGTAGTACCATTAACATAGAAGTTATGCATATTTTTATGTTTTGCAGTTTTTCAGGAATATCTCCTGATTTTACTGACCAAATACAGTCAACAGCCAGTGTTTGGAAACGGTCTCGTCCCCCTCTTACCAATGACATCTTTAATTTCACGATCCAAGCATAAATACGATTTTTTGCATTTTTTGAGGTTAGAAAGTAAAATTCTCGGATTTTGATGATTGGAGGTTATTCCGTACGTTCCGGTGCTCTAAAATTCGACCTTTAATAACAATTCATTTCAACGATCTTGTAACCGCAAATGGAGGTAAAACCGGAAATGGCTATAATTTTAGCATAAATCGTGCTCGGATCATAATTTTGACCACGTCAATGAAAAGCTTTTGCTCTCAGGAATCTACTGATATACTTGTGGTCCATGTACCTCTTATAGATCGTGAGTTATAAGCGAAAAACGAAGCTATGCTGCAGCGAAGCATGGAAAAACCTTTAAACGCTCATAACTCGGAAACTAAGCGAGATACGGCATTTTTGACGGGGATATCCTATAGGGGGAGCCTAATTTATTACTTAGGTCCAGATCTTTCATATGAGCCCTCGATCAACCCCGTAGCACCATTAACATAGAAGTTATGCATATTTTTATGTTTTGCAGTTTTTCAGGAATATCTCCTGATTTTACTGACCAAATACAGTCAACAGCCAGTGTTTGGAAACGGTCTCGTCCCCCTCTTGCCAATGACATCTTTAATTTCACGATCCAAGCATAAATACGATTTTTTGCATTTTTTGAGGTTAGAAAGTAAAATTCTCGGATTTTGATGATTGGAGGTTATTCCGTACGTTCCGGTGCTCTAAAATTCGACCTTTAATAACAATTCATTTCAACGATCTTGTAACCGCAAATGGAGGTAAAACCGGAAATGGCTATAATTTTAGCATAAATCGTGCTCGGATCATAATTTTGACCACGTCAATGAAAAGCTTTTGCTCTCAGGAATCTACTGATATACTTGTGGTCCATGTACCTCTTATAGATCGTGAGTTATAAGCGAAAAACGAAGCTATGCTGCAGCGAAGCATGGAAAAACCTTTAAACGCTCATAACTCGGAAACTAAGCGAGATACGGCATTTTTGACGGGGATATCCTATAGGGGGAGCCTAATTTATTACTTAGGTCCAGATCTTTCATATGAGCCCTCGATCAACCCCGTAGTACCATTAACATAGAAGTTATGCATATTTTTATGTTTTGCAGTTTTTCAGGAATATCTCCTGATTTTACTGACCAAATACAGTCAACAGCCAGTGTTTGGAAACGGTCTCGTCCCCCTCTTGCCAATGACATCTTTAATCTCACGATCCAAGCATAAATACGATTTTTTGCATTTTTTGAGGTTAGAAAGTAAAATTCTCGGATTTTGATGATTGGAGGTTATTCCGTACGTTCCGGTGCTCTAAAATTCGACCTTTAATAACAATTCATTTCAACGATCTTGTAACCGCAAATGGAGGTAAAACCGGAAATGGCTATAATTTTAGCATAAATCGTGCTCGGATCATAATTTTGACCACGTCAATGAAAAGCTTTTGCTCTCAGGAATCTACTGATATACTTGTGGTCCATGTACCTCTTATAGATCGTGAGTTATAAGCGAAAAACGAAGCTATGCTGCAGCGAAGCATGGAAAAACCTTTAAACGCTCATAACTCGGAAACTAAGCGAGATACGGCATTTTTGACGGGGATATCCTATAGGGGGAGCCTAATTTATTACTTAGGTCCAGATCTTTCATATGAGCCCTCGATCAACCCCGTAGCACCATTAACATAGAAGTTATGCATATTTTTATGTTTTGCAGTTTTTCAGGAATATCTCCTGATTTTACTGACCAAATACAGTCAACAGCCAGTGTTTGGAAACGGTCTCGTCCCCCTCTTGCCAATGACATCTTTAATTTCACGATCCAAGCATAAATACGATTTTTTGCATTTTTTGAGGTTAGAAAGTAAAATTCTCGGATTTTGATGATTGGAGGTTATTCCGTACGTTCCGGTGCTCTAAAATTCGACCTTTAATAACAATTCATTTCAACGATCTTGTAACCGCAAATGGAGGTAAAACCGGAAATGGCTATAATTTTAGCATAAATCGTGCTCGGATCATAATTTTGACCACGTCAATGAAAAGCTTTTGCTCTCAGGAATCTACTGATATACTTGTGGTCCATGTACCTCTTATAGATCGTGAGTTATAAGCGAAAAACGAAGCTATGCTGCAGCGAAGCATGGAAAAACCTTTAAACGCTCATAACTCGGAAACTAAGCGAGATACGGCATTTTTGACGGGGTTATCCTATAGGGGGAGCCTAATTTATTACTTAGGTCCAGATCTTTCATATGAGCCCTCGATCAACCCCGTAGTACCATTAACATAGAAGTTATGCATATTTTTATGTTTTGCAGTTTTTCAGGAATATCTCCTGATTTTACTGACCAAATACAGTCAACAGCCAGTGTTTGGAAACGGTCTCGTCCCCCTCTTGCCAATGACATCTTTAATCTCACGATCCAAGCATAAATACGATTTTTTGCATTTTTTGAGGTTAGAAAGTAAAATTCTCGGATTTTGATGATTGGAGGTTATTCCGTACGTTCCGGTGCTCTAAAATTCGACCTTTAATAACAATTCATTTCAACGATCTTGTAACCGCAAATGGAGGTAAAACCGGAAATGGCTATAATTTTAGCATAAATCGTGCTCGGATCATAATTTTGACCACGTCAATGAAAAGCTTTTGCTCTCAGGAATCTACTGATATACTTGTGGTCCATGTACCTCTTATAGATCGTGAGTTATAAGCGAAAAACGAAGCTATGCTGCAGCGAAGCATGGAAAAACCTTTAAACGCTCATAACTCGGAAACTAAGCGAGATACGGCATTTTTGACGGGGATATCCTATAGGGGGAGCCTAATTTATTACTTAGGTCCAGATCTTTCATATGAGCCCTCGATCAACCCCGTAGCACCATTAACATAGAAGTTATGCATATTTTTATGTTTTGCAGTTTTTCAGGAATATCTCCTGATTTTACTGACCAAATACAGTCAACAGCCAGTGTTTGGAAACGGTCTCGTCCCCCTCTTGCCAATGACATCTTTAATTTCACGATCCAAGCATAAATACGATTTTTTGCATTTTTTGAGGTTAGAAAGTAAAATTCTCGGATTTTGATGATTGGAGGTTATTCCGTACGTTCCGGTGCTCTAAAATTCGACCTTTAATAACAATTCATTTCAACGATCTTGTAACCGCAAATGGAGGTAAAACCGGAAATGGCTATAATTTTAGCATAAATCGTGCTCGGATCATAATTTTGACCACGTCAATGAAAAGCTTTTGCTCTCAGGAATCTACTGATATACTTGTGGTCCATGTACCTCTTATAGATCGTGAGTTATAAGCGAAAAACGAAGCTATGCTGCAGCGAAGCATGGAAAAACCTTTAAACGCTCATAACTCGGAAACTAAGCGAGATACGGCATTTTTGACGGGGTTATCCTATAGGGGGAGCCTAATTTATTACTTAGGTCCAGATCTTTCATATGAGCCCTCGATCAACCCCGTAGTACCATTAACATAGAAGTTATGCATATTTTTATGTTTTGCAGTTTTTCAGGAATATCTCCTGATTTTACTGACCAAATACAGTCAACAGCCAGTGTTTGGAAACGGTCTCGTCCCCCTCTTGCCAATGACATCTTTAATTTCACGATCCAAGCATAAATACGATTTTTTGCATTTTTTGAGGTTAGAAAGTAAAATTCTCGGATTTTGATGATTGGAGGTTATTCCGTACGTTCCGGTGCTCTAAAATTCGACCTTTAATAACAATTCATTTCAACGATCTTGTAACCGCAAATGGAGGTAAAACCGGAAATGGCTATAATTTTAGCATAAATCGTGCTCGGATCATAATTTTGACCACGTCAATGAAAAGCTTTTGCTCTCAGGAATCTACTGATATACTTGTGGTCCATGTACCTCTTATAGATCGTGAGTTATAAGCGAAAAACGAAGCTATGCTGCAGCGAAGCATGGAAAAACCTTTAAACGCTCATAACTCGGAAACTAAGCGAGATACGGCATTTTTGACGGGGATATCCTATAGGGGGAGCCTAATTTATTACTTAGGTCCAGATCTTTCATATGAGCCCTCGATCAACCCCGTAGCACCATTAACATAGAAGTTATGCATATTTTTATGTTTTGCAGTTTTTCAGGAATATCTCCTGATTTTACTGACCAAATACAGTCAACAGCCAGTGTTTGGAAACGGTCTCGTCCCCCTCTTGCCAATGACATCTTTAATTTCACGATCCAAGCATAAATACGATTTTTTGCATTTTTTGAGGTTAGAAAGTAAAATTCTCGGATTTTGATGATTGGAGGTTATTCCGTACGTTCCGGTGCTCTAAAATTCGACCTTTAATAACAATTCATTTCAACGATCTCGTAACCGCAAATGGAGGTAAAACCGGAAATGGCTATAATTTTAGCATAAATCGTGCTCGGATCATAATTTTGACCACGTCAATGAAAAGCTTTTGCTCTCAGGAATCTACTGATATACTTGTGGTCCATGTACCTCTTATAGATCGTGAGTTATAAGCGAAAAACGAAGCTATGCTGCAGCGAAGCATGGAAAAACCTTTAAACGCTCATAACTCGGAAACTAAGCGAGATACGGCATTTTTGACGGGGATATCCTATAGGGGGAGCCTAATTTATTACTTAGGTCCAGATCTTTCATATGAGCCCTCGATCAACCCCGTAGCACCATTAACATAGAAGTTATGCATATTTTTATGTTTTGCAGTTTTTCAGGAATATCTCCTGATTTTACTGACCAAATACAGTCAACAGCCAGTGTTTGGAAACGGTCTCGTCCCCCTCTTGCCAATGACATCTTTAATTTCACGATCCAAGCATAAATACGATTTTTTGCATTTTTTGAGGTTAGAAAGTAAAATTCTCGGATTTTGATGATTGGAGGTTATTCCGTACGTTCCGGTGCTCTAAAATTCGACCTTTAATAACAATTCATTTCAACGATCTCGTAACTGCAAATGAAGATAAAACCGGAAATGGCTATAATTTTAGCATAAATCGTGCTCGGATCATAATTTTGACCACGTCAATGAAAAGCTTTTGCTCTCAGGAATCTACTGATATACTTGTGGTCCATGTACCTCTTATAGATCGTGAGTTATAAGCGAAAAACGAAGCTATGCTGCAGCGAAGCATGGAAAAACCTTTAAACGCTCATAACTCGGAAACTAAGCGAGATACGGCATTTTTGACGGGGATATCCTATAGGGGGAGCCTAATTTATTACTTAGGTCCAGATCTTTCATATGAGCCCTCGATCAACCCCGTAGCACCATTAACATAGAAGTTATGCATATTTTTATGTTTTGCAGTTTTTCAGGAATATCTCCTGATTTTACTGACCAAATACAGTCAACAGCCAGTGTTTGGAAACGGTCTCGTCCCCCTCTTACCAATGACATCTTTAATTTCACGATCCAAGCATAAATACGATTTTTTGCATTTTTTGAGGTTAGAAAGTAAAATTCTCGGATTTTGATGATTGGAGGTTATTCCGTACGTTCCGGTGCTCTAAAATTCGACCTTTAATAACAATTCATTTCAACGATCTCGTAACTGCAAATGAAGATAAAACCGGAAATGGCTATAATTTTAGCATAAATCGTGCTCGGATCATAATTTTGACCACGTCAATGAAAAGCTTTTGCTCTCAGGAATCTACTGATATACTTGTGGTCCATGTACCTCTTATAGATCGTGAGTTATAAGCGAAAAACGAAGCTATGCTGCAGCGAAGCATGGAAAAACCTTTAAACGCTCATAACTCGGAAACTAAGCGAGATACGGCATTTTTGACGGGGATATCCTATAGGGGGAGCCTAATTTATTACTTAGGTCCAGATCTTTCATATGAGCCCTCGATCAACCCCGTAGCACCATTAACATAGAAGTTATGCATATTTTTATGTTTTGCAGTTTTTCAGGAATATCTCCTGATTTTACTGACCAAATACAGTCAACAGCCAGTGTTTGGAAACGGTCTCGTCCCCCTCTTGCCAATGACATCTTTAATCTCACGATCCAAGCATAAATACGATTTTTTGCATTTTTTGAGGTTAGAAAGTAAAATTCTCGGATTTTGATGATTGGAGGTTATTCCGTACGTTCCGGTGCTCTAAAATTCGACCTTTAATAACAATTCATTTCAACGATCTCGTAACCGCAAATGGAGGTAAAACCGGAAATGGCTATAATTTTAGCATAAATCGTGCTCGGATCATAATTTTGACCACGTCAATGAAAAGCTTTTGCTCTCAGGAATCTACTGATATACTTGTGGTCCATGTACCTCTTATAGATCGTGAGTTACAAGCGAAAAACGAAGCTATGCTGCAGCGAAGCATGGAAAAACCTTTAAACGCTCATAACTCGGAAACTAAGCGAGATACGGCATTTTTGACGGGGATATCCTATAGGGGGAGCCTAATTTATTACTTAGGTCCAGATCTTTCATATGAGCCCTCGATCAACCCCGTAGCACCATTAACATAGAAGTTATGCATATTTTTATGTTTTGCAGTTTTTCAGGAATATCTCCTGATTTTACTGACCAAATACAGTCAACAGCCAGTGTTTGGAAACGGTCTCGTCCCCCTCTTACCAATGACATCTTTAATTTCACGATCCAAGCATAAATACGATTTTTTGCATTTTTTGAGGTTAGAAAGTAAAATTCTCGGATTTTGATGATTGGAGGTTATTCCGTACGTTCTGGCGCTTTAAAATTCGACTTCAAATAACAAATTCTTATAAATTTCTTTCTGACGTTTGACTAATTTCTTTCCATTTTCAAATGCATTTCTGGAAATTATTATTTTCAAAAGATTTCTCTTTTACCTACCTAATTCAAGTTGATATCGAGCTTCCCTCTCTCACCGCACAGCACGACGGCGCCAAGTCAACTTCGGAATATTGTCTAAGTTGAGCCCAGCTTCAACAGTGTATGAAAAGTCTAGTGTTGTTATATGAGGCCAATTACATTAAAAAACAAATTATAAACTTTATATAAATAAAAATGAAGAAAAAACTGATCAAGCGTGTAGAAGAATCTGAATCTGATTCTCAATATAATTCAGATGAAGAGGTATGTTTTGATATAAATCGAAAATCATTCCATTCCACACTTTTCTAACCTCTTTTTCCACGTGTATGTCTTTAGCTCCAAGAAGCTTTTGCTACGGGGTTGTTGAAGCCAGGACTCAATGCTGTCATTGAGTCAGAAAAAAATGTGAGAGTAAACAATGTTGTGAGTATTTCTATGATTTCAGTAAATAAGATTCAATTGTTAATTTTATTATTATGCTAGTATTACTGTTGTATAATGTTCAGATTATAATGGTTAAAATATTTGTTCAAGGCTCTTCTTAAACAAAAAACAGATGAAATGAAACTTCGATTAGCATGGATAGAAATGCTAGATATAGTTAATGGACCTGCTCCGCTGGCTCCAGAACTAGCACTGCAAATGCAGGAACAAGAAGAACGAAGAGCTAAGCAAGCAAAAGGAAATCAAAAATTACCGCAGTACAAACTTGGAGAAGATCCTGTTCTGAATGATTTTAAAAGGGAAACAATGTTTCACAGACAAGCACAAGCAGCTGCCATTGAAGGTTTATCTAGGATAAAAAAACTCGGTCTTCCAACAATTAGACCTGATGACTACTTCGCTGAAATGGCTAAGAGTGATGAACATATGCATAAAGTCCGAGAAAATTTAGCAAAGAAACAATTGATTGCACAACGATCTGAAAAAGTTAGGCAATTAAGACAACAACGTAAAGTCGGTAAACAAATGCAAATTGAAGCCACATTAAAGAAACACGCAGAAAAACGAAAAATGTTAGAAGAAGTAAAGAAATACCGTAAAGGAATACGCAAAGATTTAGATTTCTTAGATGATAAGAAATTAATACCAAAACGAAATAAAGGAGATAAAAGAACTAATTACAAACAGAAAATGAAAAATGCTAAATTCGGTTTTGGAGGTAAAAAAAAAGGAAGTAAAAAAAATACTAGAGAGAGTGCAGCTGATATTTCAGAGTATAAAAGACCAAGAAAAGAAGGAGTTAAAAATGGAAAGGTTGGCAAAAAGAAGAGATTGGGAAAGAGTAGACGTGTACAAATTAAATCTAAACAAAAGTAATTAATTTACTTTTAATTAAAAAATATTCCATGTAATTATTTTTAAATAAAATTTTTGTTTAAATTATCAAAGAAAAAAATATTAATGTTGTTAAATGTTTATAGCTAGACTATTTATTGATTGCTATAAATATGCATGAAATTGGACATTTATATGTTTGTTATCTCTAAGGTAAATAATGCATAAAATAAATAATTCATAGTGATCATGTAGTATACACTCGAGAAGCTAACAATGTTTGGTAAATAAATAATTTCATAATATGGAATAAATAACTTTTTCTTCAATAATAAGATAGGAAAGGACATGTTGGATAATTAAATTAAAAGTTTCATTTCGACAATAAATATGTTTTAATAGACATACATCTCGTACGAGGTTATACACGATATTAATACATGTTCATTTAACTGTCCAGCAATCAAACACACTGTATTTGGTTTTATTTTCATGATTATTGTTACACATTTTGGTAAATAACGGTAATCATTTACTCATGAAGCATTTATTTTCCACCGAAGCGATTTTCATCAGCACAAAAAAAAAACAAATGGTAAATGAACTTATTTTTTCAATTTATAATACACTTTGTCATTTTTTGTTCATATTTATCCAATCGGCTTATTTTATTTTAACAAATATCAAAAAGGTTATCGGGTGCTTTCTATGCTTGTTTTTACCCTGAGCACCCGGTAATTCAATCAATAATTTACAAATTTTTATTAATTACTCATGCTCATCCGCAGAGCTTGAATTTTTTTCAAAAATTATCGAATTAATTACAAAAAAAATATATATTATCTCATAATTTTATTTCTTCATCAAAGACAAAAAAATTATTGAGGAATAATGTCACTTTCTTAATTTTTTAATCATTAAATTTAATAATTTGTACAACCGTTTGAACGGAAGAATAAATTTATTGATTGTTATATTATATTTTAGATATTAGATGTTAATTTTTTATTATATCAATTTAAAGTCTAATTCTCAGCCACATGTATACATTACAGGTTCGATTAAGTTATTTTTTTTTTTCTTTAATGTTATATAACTACCACTCGTAACAATAGACTTCATTATTCCTTTACTCGGTGACCAGCACCAAACATTCGCACACATTTGTTCATACATTTTTACGAAAAGAAAGAAAATGAAACGCCTATGTGACACAGATACAGAAGTTATCGAGAATTTCACATTCGTACACTCAACTATAATACAATTAAATTATCATATCACTACTTATACATATCAGAATCGAGACATTATTAGCCTCCGTTTTTTATTCAATTTTTTTTCATCAATGTATCTCTCCTTTACACAATTTATTATAACCAATTCACTGATTATTTCATATTTATGTCAAAAAATTCATTATCGTATCAGCAAACAGTTCTATAAAATAATAACAAGCTTAAAAAAATTCATCAATTGCAAAAGTGAATAGATTTATTAGGTATTTGACTTAATTAACAAATTAATTCATATTTAAGATAATTATAGAAATTGTTGATTAGTATCCTTAATTAATATTTATTTATTTATTCAATCTTTCGGAGAGTTTTATGGATAAAAAAAGATCTCAAAAACGAAGAATAGTAATAAAATCAACGAAAAATACACACTACACTCGATTAAATCACTATTCTTTGGTTAAAACAATTGTACGTCAAATTATTTAGTAAATAGTGTTATTTTTAACAAAATTTATTTGCATAAAATTTCACGTTAAAAAGACACCGAAAAAAAATTTTCAATTACTTAGAATATAAATCCATCATAGAGACCAGCTCCATGAATATCACTTGGCTTCTTTCGTAACAGGTTCATAATAAAAAATTTTTTATCATTTTTCTCTTGATATGGCATTTAAAGAAACAATAATTAAAAATAACATATTTTAGACTCTTTTAAAACATACTTTTCCTGGTCTCTCTGTTAAAAAAAAAAATCAGTTGGTAAAAGTGATAAGATAAAACGAATAAAAAAAATTCAGATTTTGAGTGTTAATTATTCCGTTTCATTCCATCAAAACGTTCGTTCTTCATTAGAAGCTGACAGTGAGATCGATGGGAAATTACATTTACATCTCGGAGCTTCTAGTAAATTTGCCTTGCACTTGAAAGCTGTATGTCTTTCAATTGATATGTCGTTTGTCATTTGATTCATGTATTGAAAACGACGCTCCGTCTATCAGTACAAACGTATTTATCCGCTGAACAACTATTATTATTATTAATATTATTATTATTTTTTTGGTTTATTTTTATATTTATTTATTTATTATTTTTTTCTTAAACTTTCTTCCGATGCTTTTGGTCATGCCCAACAGGTACAAGTTGAGATTCTTTCTCCAACAATAAAAAAAATCTTTCCAAGGCTTTCTTTCAGTGAAATTCCGTCTTTCCAGACTAAAAAATATTTTATCCACTTTCATATTCCAACCATAATCACTTTTCAAAGCGATGGTAAAACGTCGTTTATGTCAAATAATCAATGCTCCGTCGGTCCAGCCGACAATCTTATTGCTACGCATTCCATACCTCGTTAGCTATTGATGCGACAAATACAGTACACACCATCTTAATCACTAAAAAAGCAGGATGATGCAGGAAAGCGCAATTACGGATGCGCTCGCCACCAAGATGGAAGCTGAAATTTTTCATGGAGTTTCTTACAAATGCCCGTCAATTTCCGTCACATTCCAGCATCTGTTGAGGCTTCATCTTGATCTTCTCCTTCTGTTTCATTTTCGTCAGCATTTTCTCCTGTTTCATCACCTTCTTCTAAAGTTACCTAAAAATATCCATATAAAATATTTAATGTTGTAGAAAAATAATTTACTATTTTTTTTTATTAGTTGAATGTGCAAGTAAAAAATTGATTAAAAAATTATAACTTGATTAGATAATGTGGGAAAAATTTTCATCACGAACAATTGAACTCCCAACTGAGTCGTAGGTTTAATAAATGGAAAAACTTTTCTCTATGAAGCTGTGGAAGTCATTTGTAGCTATCGTAATAGACTTTGTAATTGTATTATAAAGACAATTTTAGTTTTTTTTATGGTACCTTGCACAACTACGATGATTCTAATCATTCAAACAGTCTACAAGTTTATTCTTTAATTTAGGAAGTTTCGAAAGGAATTAATTAACTATTAAAGGTTATATTCTTTTTTTATCAAATTTTGATAAATTTATTTATTTTTAGGAAAATTTAGTGTTATCATCATTTTATGAATACTTAATAAAAATTCTGTACAGCTCTCAAATAAATAGCATGATTAAACTTTAGAAAAATTCCATTCACCCAAATTATTCAAGTCACGTTAAAGCAAACTTTTCGTAAAAAAGTTAGTTAATTAGATAATGTAAATATTTTACCTGAAAATGAATCCGATCCGAATGTGGTTCGCTTCCTTGCTGATCGTCGGAAGGCGGTGAGGGTGGGATCATAGATTGATACCAATCCCGATTTTCTTCAAGTGTATCGAGTATCTCTTGAGCATCAGGATGAACTAAATCAGCCCAAGTTTCCCAAAGTGGATGCACGATGTAATCGATAAAGCCCACTTGAGACTTCTCAATAGTTGCGTTATGTCTATCGCACATTGGACTAATATCCATATTCTGTTCACGTTCACGATCACCTTGCAAGAAAAATTCTTCCATAAGCAACCCAACCCATCTCCGATAAAGTGGCAAGGGCTTTGTTGGATTAGACAAATCTGCACAGTGCACGAGATTCTCCAAAACTTGAATCCGATCAGTGTAATTATCTAGAAGGAGGACTCCGGATCCAGCTACTTTCTTTGTCTCTACCATAGTCTTTAGATCAGCAAGAAGGGACATGTGCTTTGACATATCAGTCGATAGAACCATATCGATCACCATCTTCCTTAAAGTTTGACGTTGTTTTTTCGTCATGTTGACAAATATATCGCAGCCCTCATTTTGCAGAAGTTTGAATGCCACGGCGAGATGATGATTTTCCAATACTGACTCGTCGTTGTACATAAGTGCTAGTTCCGAGCCTATAATATAATAAAGTTATAAGTTAAATTATATGATAATTGAATTATAGTGTAACCATTTAAAAGATTAATCAATATTAATAATTTACATTTATACTTGAATGGTGTTTTTAAGATTGTCAGTATTTCCTTTTTCAGAAAATTCATTAGAATAATTATAATTGGCTTCAATTTAAATAGCGCGCAGGTTGTATCTTATACAAAGATGATTTTAATAAGATATTCAAACGTAATGGACTTAAATAAATCAGCTTACTTAACTCTAATTAGAATAAAATTTAGTATTAAATATTTATGCCTCAATGCGTAATTAGATAAATTAATCATGAAAATATTGAAAATCTTGATCATCTAAAAATATAGATCAATACAGGGTTGAAGATGTGACAACAGATATTTTATCTTTTTACTCAGAAAAAAGATATATTGAATATTGATTTTCTCATCATAATTCTGAAAACTGATAATTTTTTATTTAAAAAAGTCATGATTATCTTAAAGATTTAAATAAAAATCGACATCTTACTTTTTTAGACTCTTGTTTACAGTATTTTCTACATCAAACTGATTTTTATCTTTATTTTGAAGGAAAAACATTCATCATTTGAGTTTAAAGTAAAAATAATCTACTAGAAACGTAGGTATACACTTAATAATTTGGTTGTTAAAATAAACAGAAACATGCTGCTATGAATATAATGAAATTCTGTGCGTGGGGGCATAAAAATTAATCAGAGACTCACTTGAATTTATAAGGAACTGATTGGTAAGGCCTGGATGATCAACATCATGAATAGTAGCTGCAAATAAAGCTGCTGTGATTTCCAGGGGCGTAAAGACGGACTGTTGATGAGATAAACAGTAATTATTATTAATTCTTGATTGTACATAGACATAGACGTATATTGTATATGTATTATATGGTAAATCGATTGAGACGTATTACCTCAAGCGCGGGCGTATTGAGCAGCGTATGCGTCGACTGAGTTACGTCGGCAGCATGAAGGCTGTTATGGAAGGGATTGTCCTTGACATAATGATCTTCCAGAGTCATCATAAAGGTAACAAATGTTTTTGGAGGAATAGCCAGAGATTTGAGTAGATCGCGGCTCTGGAAAGCTGTGTATGCTACGCAGGTCAATGGCCGGTTGTTACTTAGTTCAGCTATCCTGAATATATCAATGCCCCACTTGTCGATATCTGATAAAAGCTGCAATCACAGTTCCAATTATTACGCTTAATCACCTCAATTTTCAGATAACGATGGTTATTATCATTTTTATCATCATCAAAATTGTTATTGTTGTGGTTACGATTATTATGGTTACATTGCTTTGTAAACTTTCTAAAAATAACTTCTGAAGATCAATCTGATTTAACTAATTTCAATTATTATTAATCACTCTTAATTATAGATGTAGATTCATTACAAGAGATTATTTTAAATATTATCTTTATTTATAAAATTTAACTTGTAGTTAATATTAATTAAATATTTAATTTTTCTCAGCTTTTAGTTTGTGTACTTTTAAATCATTTACAGTAAAAAAAATTCAGAATGATTCCGATAAGAATCATTTTTGTAGCTATTGATATTGTTATGGTTATAGCCATGATATGCTTATATGCTATTTAAATTTAAAAATAAATAGCGAACCTTGCCGAGTTCTTCCTCATGAGGAGTTTCAACACCATGAAGAGGTACTCGTTCACCAGTAAAACTATTTGTATGAGTCAAAGGACGTTTAACTCCACTAATATGAGACATTGCAGCTGGACCACGCTGTGCTCGATCTTTTTTCTTTGCTGATCTGACATCGCCTGCTACAGCTGCTACAGCATCTTCAATACGCAGAGATGGCAAGTCTAACTCTTGCTGTTTATCTGTAAATTTATTTTATCCATGATATATTTTGTCATTTATTCATTAAATAAATGTACATTTTAATATTTGTCATAATATAGCTACTACAATTAACAACATTGAATTAATGTAACTTCGAGGGTGAACACCTACAAGTTAACATTAGTTACAATGACGAATGATATTAATTAAACAAAGTTTTGAAATGGAGATGCCTTTATAAGAGAAGTTGAAACAATTAAATATGGAAAAAAATTTGAACTTTTTAGAATTTAATGAATAGTAATTTTTTTTTTGTAAAAGTACTAAAGTTTTATATAGCTTAGAAAGTTCATTTATAAGGATATTGATTGTTCTTTTATTTTATTTTAATATTAATTATTTTAATCACTTTGATGTTTATAATAATTACTTACCGAGGAAAGTACTGCAGATGTACTCGGAAATTTGATTACCCGACTTGGAAGACTCGGAGAAATGTGAGAGTTCTTTGTTCAACATCCTCTTGAACTGAAATTTAGAATCTCATTTTAGTATTCATTTTACAAGTATTATGACAATGGTATGTGTGTCATTTGATAATCCACTCTAGGACAATTTTCTCTTTACTTTAAATCTTTTCTACGTCAACGTAATACGTGAATAAAGATCAAAACTCTTCACATTATGTTAATCCTATATCAGCTGTTGCACATTCACATTGAATAACTATAAAATATTGATCGACTGTAAAATCCCGAGAGAAATACATTTTTAAGATTTCTGATCAGCAAGCACCACTGTGGAAAATTGATCGAAAAGAAAAAGAAATTGAATAAATATAAAAGATGGACAAAGTGAAGGATGTATGGTAAAGTTTTATTCCAGTCTACGTCATTTGAATGGCAGTTTAAATGGTCTCTTGGCCAAGTGACCTACATTTACTTTAAATACTTAAGGGTACAAAAGTTAAACAACTGAATCTTGTTGAAAAGCTCTCTCTTTTGCCAAAAAACAAAAAGTAATGCTCACTTGTAATGATACCAGTAGAGAGAAAAAGCGACGTGGGATTGTTCGAATAAGAAAATGAAGAAGAATGGAAAGAAGATATGAAACAAAGGATCAACAGTGTTTTTATGTACCTTTAGGGATGCCATATCTGAGACTGATCGATGAGTTTGAATAGTTTCCAATTGATCTAAACACCAGTCTAGTTCTTCCATTGTTTCTACTGCAAGTTTCATGTAGGATTCATCTGAAAATAATTTAAATTAGTTTCTTTTATTCTGAAAAATAATGGTAACTAAAATGGACAACGAAAATATCACTTTAAAATATGAATTGATATGGATTTATTGTTATGAAATAATCAATAGTAGTATTTTCAAGTTGATTTTTGTTATATAAATTAGGCGATATAGAAATACTTGTAAATAATGGATAGAAATAACAATTTGAATAATATTTATTCTATTTTTAATATTGAAAGTTATTTATTTATGTTTAGTCTTACGAAATAATAAATAAAATACTGAAAAATATGTAACTGTAAATTTATTATTAAATTTTCCATAAATTAAAAAACAAAAAATAAAATAATAATAACGACATCTAAGTTTCAATTTATAATCTGTTACTTTCAACTGTGAAATGTGATTTACGTATTATATAAATATAGGTCAATAAAATATGAGATATCTCATGTTATTAAAATTTATCTAACTTGAATAAAAAAACAAATTGTTGATTGTTAAAAATTATGTATACACAGCCATGGTTTGGATTTTATAATTAAATTTGTGTGGAAAAGAGTATTTAATTGAATCATTGAGACTTACAATTAGTAATTTTTTTTTTTTTTTTTACCTCTCGAAACTTTTTTTTTCTTTTTGAAATAAAAATAATAAACTAGATATAAATGTCAACATCATTATTAGACAATAAAAACAATCCTCGAGGTCGAAAACGTTTTTGATTGAATTAATGTTAGTTTTAATGAATTATTTGAATCTTGCCCAGTAGAAGTATAAAAAAGGAACTACTTTGAGATCTTTTTTTAAATCTGGGTAAATTCTTTGCTAATGACTAGTTTTTTATTCAAAAAGATAGAAAACATTTTTTTTTTTTTAAAAAGGAAAAAAGGAGCCCATTCATAAAAAATATTATTTTCTTTGAGCTTTTCAACTGAGCAAGATCCCTCATGATGTATATAAATATTTAAGTTGACTCAATTTACAAACCTCCTGGAACCAGTATACGAGGTTGTGGGGTATTGTTGCCTTGTGCGCCACTGCTCCTTCGAGATCTGAAAATTTATCTTTATTAAAAGAGCCATCAAATCACGTAATTCACAAAAGCTATTCCACTTTTTATCTTTTAAAGTTCAGAACTCTCAATATTAACTTAGGACTTACTTGTTTGTTGGGACATTAGTAAGCGATTGGAAGTTTGTTCTGATTGATCGCAGAGACGCAAGGATTTGCGCGAATGGTGTAACGATGAGATCTTCGCCATGACTGTAAGTAAACAAATGATTTATAATTCATTTATTCATTAATCAATATATCAAGGGATACAATCCAGGGAAAAATAAAAATTTGCACTGGCTTGAAATATTATTTTTTTTTATTTTAGAAAAGCTTATGATTTGTCTGAGAAATATTTTTTGTTCTTTCATTTGAAGATCAAATTTGTTAATTAACAATTCATAAAATAATAAAAATGGCCCTCAAGATAAGTAAAATAAATTGTTGTGATTATTTCGTAATTAATAATAATATACAGTGATTTAAATTGAAAAAACTATTTCTCAATATTTTTGAATACAAAAAAATAATTATCAATCATCGAAAATAAATGTTCCTAACTTCTATAAATAAATCTAATCTCTTTAAAAATCCAGATTAAACTAGATTTATTCATACTTTCTGGGTTCTGTCGGAATTTTTATGTAACTTTACAAAGTTCTGTACGATTTAAATATAAATTATTTTAACATACAGACATAAAAAAATTAAATAAAAGCACATCAATGTCAATAAGTCAACCTTTCTAAAATCACGGAGGTTAATAATAAAATACTTTCTATTATTTCACAAGATAGTTTTTACAAAACAAAAATGCATCAAATTTACCAGTGTTATAAAATATGTAAGAAATAAAAGTGGAGCTTTTATAATGCCAATAATAAACAAAATTACAATACTTTCTATATGTAAATTATTTTTAGCATTATTCAATGAGCTGTCATTCGTACTTTAGTGTGCACTATGTATAACTATAATTGCATTGTTTTTTCTTTCTATTCATGCATTCAACGTGATTGCGATAGATTGTAGTAACTAGACAAGTATGAGACGTCATTTAATAATACGAACTTGGCGTAGTAGACAAAAGACCTTGCGAATGCAGATCGAAGTTGGCTTACTTCCTTTACCACTTTACAAATCAAGCTCAGAAATAACCTTTCCCCCCTCACCCTGTATATTCATCAGTAATTGACTCTTTTTAACATTAACCAGAGATAATTTTAGAGGTCTATAAAATCTATCTAAGATGTCGAAGATACAGGATGGCAAGTGGGAAGGGATAAGACTTACTAATCACGTTTGGTGGGTGATGCAAAGCACTGTTGCTCCCAGAACACTGCACGTCTGGTTGGTCGTGATCGAAGTGCTGACATTGAATGGGTTCGTGGTAATCCAGCAACAGCACCCGCCAAATTCCCAACCATACCAACTACCCGTGCTACTGAAGCGTCATCAGAGCACGCTAAAGCTGGTGAACTCATTCCACCACTTCGTTTAAGACCACCTGGAATGAACATCAAGTCTTCTATGCCTCCACTTGAATCCGACATCTTTCAATGGTGAATTTATAACCAGACTATCAAAGAATGTGTTCTATAGAAAGCAGTTATTTGCTTTAGCTTTAGGAATAACAATTTTCCAGTTTCATCCAAGGAAAAAAATTATTTGATCTTTTAGTATCAGAGACTGTTTCCGCTTTTTAGATTATTTTTAAAATTACTTTATGTTATGGCAAAATTATTTTTACACTGGTTACAGCATTGGAATAAGATTTTACTTATTTTTATAATGATTTTGCAAAATTTCTCATTTTTTTCCAAGAGCTTTTAACACAGAAAAAATTTTTTATTCCAGTTTTAATACTTGTTTCAAGTTTTCTATTATTTTTTCAACAATTTGAACAGCAAAAAAACTTGTAAGCACGTTTTATGTCACTAAATTTGACTATTTAATGAATATGCACTTATTCAAAGATTCTGACATTTTAAAGAATTAATTTGAATATGAGACAGACTTCAAATTCAAATTTTTTCAAGTTTAATATATTTTAGAAACCATTTTATGAAGGTTAAATAGTTTTTTAATGCTCATATTTTATTCGAACATTCTTTTCCTTTGATATAGTTCTGACAACTACACCTAAATATTGAGGTCTTTGTAGAATTAAATTCACAGTTTTACATAAGCTTTATATGTAGACTATTTTTTGAAACTTGAATCTCCATTCTCGAGACTTTCTGATTCCATTGAAACATTATTTTTATATTCAAGTATATTTTCTCAAGGTATATTAATGTACCTTACTAGAACAATTGTTTTAGTTGCTTAAGTAGTACTATAAAGCTCGTAAATAGCATATAATCAGTCCATTTGAAATCACATAGTCGAATAAAAGATGAAATTAACTCGTTCACATGATTTACGTTTAGTTTTGCAACATAGTTACAAAGTAGAATTTCTTCATCATTGTATAAAAACTCATAGAAGAAAATTTTTATGTGCTATATATGTGCAACACTTTTCACAAAATAAACTTCAGAAACTTTCCTTCTTCTTCTTTTTCTCAGCTACTATACAAGTCTTTGTGTATATTTAGAAGTCGAGGGATTGGAATCATTACGGCTACATAGCAAGCTCCCTAGTGTGACCTAGTAGCAAGTAATCTTAGTGTTGAATGATGAGAAGAGAATCTGGGGTCTTGGAAAAATTTATTATCTTTTTATATCTGGTAATTAAATGCGATGGATCATTTATGTTATCGAATTTGCCATGACATAGCACACGTATCACATTCTTCACGTTATTTCATGATTCACAGGATGGACAATTAACTTTATTGAGTTTAATATCTAACATTTTTATGAAGAATCATCATAATGTTAGTCATTTTTCCACTTACATTATCATTTGGAATTCACTGCTATATGATATAGATACTTAATTGATTTCTTGGATAGTAACTATCGATTAAAACATTTTTTACCTTGTTTTATGTGTTATTTTGTCATTCACTTATTATATTCAAATTTAAGAATAATCTTAGTTGAATAAATTATCATGGTTACTGACTATTTTTAAACATTAATTAATACTATCATAACTTTCATCAATATATCTTTTTTTTGTATAAAAATATTATAAATTAAACAATAAAAATAGATTTTTTATCATAAAATTTTCAATTAAAATATATATTAAACATTTCTTCTTTAAAAACAATGTAAAATTTGTGTTAGTCTTTTCTCAGTATTGACTTGATAATGATTTGAAGAAAATAATGGTATGAGCCATCACAAATATATATCCATTATATTTATCAATAAAGGAACATTAATTTTAACCATAGCGAATAAATTATGACAAAGAAAACAATAAATAAAATATATTTTATAATTTTGTTTGTGTCAACTTTCTAATATTTCTGACAAACTGTTCACTATATTTTTTAATTGTAAAAATTTGTTTGTTGATTTATCCAAATTTAATAACCATAATAATACTGCATTCTTCGAAATTTAATGTCCATTTTAATTATCAAAAATTTTACATAAATAGTAGTCGTCACTTAAAAAGTTGAATTTTATCCAAATAAACAATGTTTCAAATATTTTTTATATTTGGTGGTTTGAAGATGGTTAAAATTTCAGCACTTTCCACCTGTCTTTGTTAATGACACTTTTTGCCAGTAAATGAAGAAATCTTTCTTAACCTTGTAACGTTCATTTATTGATATGTAAGTCATTTAAAGCAATAAAATTGCAATAAAACGATCGCAAAGTCATGTTCGGGATCGAACGTCGCCATATCGACACTTGGCGTTCACCACGATGTCCAACTGCCCGGGGTCTTCCGGTTTTGCGGGGGATTTGCCGACGTCGGAGTAGGGGAACGGTGTGTGTAGTCGTGATTTGCGCGGGAAACATGCGCATCGAACATCCTCGAGTGTCACGATCGTATCACCTCGTGCCCTTTCGTGACACCTCGGACCCCTTCGTTATTTGTCGAGAAGCTTTTGCAAAACGTGGGTGTTTGCTTGAGAATTTGATTGATCGTTTATTTTATTTTATGATTATGATTAGAGAACATGATTTGTGATATTTTAAATTAACATTTTCCTTTTATCTATTAAATGATGAGGTCTATAGGTAATTATTTTTATAGTCATTCCAATTCAATGTAGTACTAATAATCCAGCCAAGTGTCAGGGTCATTTGTTATCTCCTTGTCGAATCTACAAGTGCATGTTGTCTTTCGAGTAAAAAAAATATTCTCTCTCTGACGAATCTCTTAATATTGATTTTCAGGAATTGGCAAGGTTCCAGTGTAGTTCGCATGCTCGAGATATTTATGAAGAATCCACGTAAAAATCGGCAATATTTTTATTGCCTGACAATTTGTCGTTTACATCCATTTATTCCTGAGTTACTTTGGTTTGTTTTGATAAGACTTTATCGAGCTTTTTGAAGTTTATCTTGGTATGAATATCATTTTGATTATGATAGAATCGTTGCATTATTTACAAGAGATAGTTTGGTTAGAAAATAGTCATAGTTTGATAGATTAAATTTTGATTTAATTATATTATTACAAAGTTTATCATTCATGACTACTGTTGCGGGATTTCAAAAATCCTTTAAAACTTTTTTTTGATTAACTAAATGTTATTAGATTTATTTTAAAATTATTTACTCCATTTCATTAATTAGATTTGAGAGACTATTTAATTGTATTTTAATTTATAGTAAATATTCAAATAAATAAGATTGTTTTCAAGTTCTCTTCATGATTTATATCAACAAGTAAGTAGATCAAAAAATTCTATTTTATATTAAGAATAATCATAAACTGTTCATGAATTAATGGGTTTTTATTTCTTTCAGGTCATCTTTGTGCTTGAAGGTTAGAATACATGTCAAGTAAAATGACTTTCAAAGAATCTTGATTAACTCAAAACTACTGAGTTAATTTTATTAAGTGTTTACTTTATTCATTATAAAATATTTAGCAGTAGGAGTTTGGAAGATTTATTAAAAATATATATATATATAATTAGTTTATATTCAATTAAAAGTAAAAGAGAGAAATTAATTTTGATTAATTAACTGTCATTTTTTCAATCATGATATAAATTGTCAATACTATTGACAACATCAATCGATAGAGAAAAGTAAAATTACGAGAAGGAAATTATTCTTTCGGTAAATATTGAAATGGAAAATTGAATTGCAGTAACAGTAATATTGTAATTGAGTCAGAAACTTTGGAAGAGATTTTTAAATATAATATATGATCTATAAAAGCAAATAAGAGGAAAAGTTAAATAGCATAAAAAATTTAATATGTATTCAAAAGTAAATTCCCTTCATTTTTTTTTTTTTTTAAATATTTAAGGAATTTTTTTCTTTACCTGAATGAAATAATAAAAACATTTTTATAATTAAAAGAAAATTCTAAATAATTTTAATTACGTATTTTTTTTTGTATAAATAGCATGAATGGCATGCTCATAGCTATTTTTAATATTTTCTTTTGACAAAAAGCTGTTTTTGTAAATGGAGTTTATTGAAAAAATTACCCACTATATAACAATGGTTTCTTTATTAAAAATAGATTTCACTGCATTTCACTTTTAGTTCTAAAATACATCTACGTGCCTTTTTTACGTTTTTTATCATCAATTAAAATACCAAAATTCTTTCATTGAATAGAAAAACCACATTGTCTTTAATTAAATTAGCTAAACAACTTAAAAAACATTGTTCTCGAGCTCTTCCCACATTTCAATCGTAGACTAAACAAGTGGAAAAATGATCCGAAGAATGAAAACGAATGTTGCTAACTTGTCAAAATAATTGCTAACAATCTATCGCAATCAGTGAGCCAATTAAACATAATTAAGCAACTTACCTGTACTGATCAGTAAAGATCCTGAAAATAAAATTACTTTTTATTTCAGTGTTCCTTTCTTTCATTTACTAATCACAAAGTAGCATCATTTAAATGCGCATTTTTTTTTATTTTTTCAAAATTTGTTTTATTTTGATCTATGGATTTCCATTTCTAATGAAAAAATAACCTTTTTTTTCTATTATATTCTATTTTTTACAGAATATACTGGAGAGATTATTTTTCTGTGAATCTTTATGGATCCTTTTTATAGGAATGAATGTCTAAGAATGAATAAACATATTTTCGAAAATCCTAGATTTGTTTTTCTTTTTCATTGAAATCTCATAAAAGGTGGAAAAAGAAATGGAACACCCATGATCTTTCAGTAAAACGAGCTTGACTACAGTTTTTTTAATAACCAATAAAATAACAAAGCACAAAATAAAGCAAATAAAATTGAAAATATAGTAAAACAAATTTGTGTATTTATCAAGTATTTCATATTTGAAATAAAAGCATTTAATTAGTTAGATAGAAAATTTTGTTATTAGTGAAGGTTAAGCATCCATAAAGCAATAATAAATAAATCAATAACTGTTTATTCAATGTACACTCAAAAATACCAATGAATAAATTAAAATTATCTTCAATAGGAAGTATATGTTATTGAAAAAGTTGAATTTTTTTTACTGCAATCTCGAAAATGAATTCGTGCAAATTTATTCTATATACAACGCAGATAAGCTCGTTAATAAATGGTTTTTGAAGCAATAAAATTAAACATATGCACAAGTTTAATTTTTTTTGAGGATAATTTTTTTAAATGTACAGTAAAATAAATGTTAGATAATTTTTTACAATGCTTACACTGAAAAAAAAAATAATAATTTCCATCAAAAAATTTTATAATAAATTATTTTTTAACCCAAATTTTTGGTTTAGATAAAAGTTTAAAATTATTTTCCTAACTGTGCCAAATAGTTAATACAATTATTTCATATCAATATATTTCTTTCAGTGTAATCATTTAAACAAATAATTAAGTTAAAATTCAGTGTCAATTATGAAGCATTTAAAGATGAAATAAAGCAAAAAATCGAACAAAAGTTGATCAGAAAAATTGGAAGAAATTTTAAAAATCAATTTTTAATGAAAAAAAAAAAACTAAAAGCATAATAATATGATAGTAAATATCGATTACATACGCTCGCTCGATTGGCGGCTCTGTCTCTTTGAACCTGTAACCGAAGGATCAGACACCTGGCGTTATGACAATACCAAAGTAGATGCAAAGAATTTATCGACTTCAATGTCGCATTGATATTTATATATATGAATTGTATGGATATATATACAAAAAGAAAAAAAAAATAATACAGAAATAAGCTTCAAATTTGAAATATTTCCAATTGAAAAAAGCCACATTGACAGATACTTGAGCATTCATCAGATATATATTACAATTTCTACAATGGAATTTGCAACAAATTTTTTCATTGGTGAAAAAAAAAGACAGTAGAGGAATAAAATTCGTCAAACAGAGTTTGAAATAATCTAGAACAACATTGATATTCATGTCACAACTTTGGTAATTATAATATTGCAAACTTTGGAAGATTTCAGTCAATGAAACAAAATTAACTTAATGAGGAATAATTAATAAAGTTTGAGAAATTTATAGGATTTCGATATAAGTTACTCTAGAGAAAACTTTCATAGATTAATATTAGTATGATGATTTACATTTTACTTTATTTATCATTTATTAATTATACTTAAAAAAACTTAATATTCAGCTTATTTTATGATATCTGATATTTCACACTAAAATAAATTTATTAAACTTTTAAAAGTCCTATTTACTTTGTCCTATTTTTTATTATTATTATCAGCATTATTATTTTATACCATTGTAGTATAAACAATCACATCCTATGAAAAAACTTTTTCTATTAAATAAAAGCCCGTGCATACTAATCCTGCTATCAGAAGGTCACAATAAATGTATTTGATACCTTTTCTGCAAAAATATGATAAAAATAATTCTTCTTTTTATCCTAACTTCATAATTGCAATGATATTTGGTATCTATATTATTTCGTATTTTTTTATAGCTTAATTAGAGACGAAAGAATTTA